GCTTTGTCTTGATGATCTGGTCCTTGTGTTGGTGAAGTCCACTGTGAAAAGGGGGAACTTTAGTCGGTGTGCTGGATTAGTCGGAGGTTCCCTGACAGCCTCTGCCTGACCAAGTTTATCGCCATGCATTTCGCGTGTTTACCGCTCCTAGCAGGACTGGTAGTTGCCCAGAGCAGCTCTGTCTTTGCTCAAGGAGAGACAAAAATCCATGAAGAAGGTCGATGCGCCATTCGTGGCCATTGCGGAAAACTATCGTTTTTCGGTGGACAACTACCGTGTCCCGACAATGGACTTGCGAAAGCACCCACAGCAGATACGCGGAAGAAGCTGGTATCGTTATGTGGAGATAAATGGAAGACGGGTAATGTTTGCTGTGAGGATCCTCAGGTATGAACCTTCTTGTTTGGAAGCTGGCGCGTTGCTTCGGATATAGGGAGCTGGAGATGTATCGCATGCTGACTTTTGCGCCCGCATTTTTGATAGATTGATGCTTTATCCTCGCACTTAAAGATGGCTGAAGGCATAATTGCGTCATGTCCAGCTTGTAAAGAGAACTTTTTCAACCTATTCTGCTCCTTTACATGCTCCCCCGACCAGTCGCTTTTCATCAACGTCACGCAAACAGATACCGTCAAAGATAAAAAAGTAGTGACCGAATTGGATAATCTGTGGTCCGAAGTGTACCAAGTTGGCTTTTACGATAGCTGTAAGGACGTCAAGAACGGTGCTTCTGGCGGCAAGGCGATGGATTTCATTGGCGGAGGAGCTAGGAATTTTACCCAGTTCTTGAAATTTTTGGGCGACAAGAAGCTTCTAGGAAGCCCGTTTCAAATTAATTTTATGACCCAACCTAAGGGACCCATGGATGCTGGTATGCAGCCTCTACCGACCACTCCAAAATCATGCAGTGATGCAGACCAGAAGTATCGGTGTTCCTGCATTGATTGTCCCGCTGTTTGCCCACAATTGCCTGCGCTACCAGAGGAAAGCTACTGCCATGTTAGGCACCTACCTTGCTTATCCTTCTCTGTCATAATCGTCTATTCGGTTTTTCTATTACTCATGGTCGCCGCCACGCTCGTTCATGTAGTTTTCCGGAAACGTCAACAGCGCAAGTTGGAACGGGCTAGGCTCCTCCAAGATACCAGCCCAAGCGATGATGAGGACGAAGGAGATCTCATTGACGATGCCGGATTACTTGACCGCCCCCAAGTCAGCTATAAGCTGAACTCGGTTTTTGATGCGGCGTTCAGCCGTCTGGGTGGCGTGTGTGCTCGATTTCCGGCATTAACCATAACGACAAGTATTATTGTATGTGGATTGCTGAGTCTGGGTTGGCTACGATTCACTGTCGAAAGGGACCCTGTCAAGCTCTGGGTGAGCCCCACCTCGGCCGCTGCTCGAGAAAAAGCTTTCTTCGATGAGAATTTCGGACCGTTCTATAGAGCGGAGCAAGCGTTCCTTATTAACGACACTCACCCGGATGGACCAGGCCCTGTATTAAGCTACGAAACGCTCAGTTGGTGGTTTGATGTTGAGAATCGAGTGCGTCGCATGATTTCCCTAGAAAAGGGCCTTGCTCTGGAGGATGTGTGCTTTAAACCCACCGGACATGCTTGTGTTGTCCAGTCATTAACTGGATATTTCGGAGGGTCTTTCTCCAATGTCGACCCTAATAATTGGAAATCTCATTTGAAATACTGTGCCGAGTCTCCTGGATCCATTGAATGTCTCCCCGATTTCCAACAACCCCTGAAACCGGAAATGATACTTGGGGGTTATGGACAGACTAAGAATGTGTTGGATGCCACTGCACTTGTTGTTACATGGGTAGTCAATAACCATGCCCCAGGCAGCGAAAATGAAGCTGGGGCAGTAGATTGGGAGGATAGTTTGAAAAGAGTGCTCGAGGTCGTGCAAGAGGAAGCAGGTGAACATGGTCTACGAGTTTCTTTCAATACGGAAATCAGCCTTGAACAGGAGCTGAATAAATCTACAAATACTGATGCGAAAATAGTTGTTATTAGCTACGTCATTATGTTTATTTACGCTTCTTTAGCCCTTGGTTCGACAACCCTGACGTGGAAAAGTTTCTTCAGCAACCCAGCCAACAGTCTTGTGCAGTCGAAATTTACACTCGGTATCGTTGGCATCCTAATCGTCCTGATGTCTGTCTCCGCTTCCGTTGGCCTTTTCTCAGCAGCTGGTATCAAAGTGACGTTAATCATTGCCGAGGTGATCCCGTTCCTCGTTCTCGCAATCGGCGTCGACAATATTTTCCTCATCGTTCACGAATTTGAAAGGGTGAACCTGAGCCATCAAGAAGAAGAAATCGATGGGCGCATTGCCCGAGCCTTGGGCAGAATGGGCCCCAGTATACTTCTCTCTGCAGCAACAGAAACAATTGCATTTGCGATGGGAGCCTTCGTGGGGATGCCTGCTGTGAAGAATTTCGCAGCTTATGCAGCCGGCGCTGTCCTCATCAACGCGATATTACAGGTCACCATGTTCGTGTCCGTGCTGGCTTTGAATCAGAGACGGGTTGAGAGTCTCCGTGCCGATTGTTTTCCCTGTCTAACAGTGCGAAAAGCAAATTCGTCAGGAATCCCTAGCGGTCAGTCGTATGACCATGCGGAGGAAGGTATCCTGCAACGCTTCATCCGAAAAACATATGCTGCTCGCCTTCTTAAAAATCACACAAAATTTTTAGTCATGGTTGTTTTCCTTGGGATATTCACTGCCGGTCTTGCTCTCCTGCCAACTGTCGCCTTGGGCCTGGATCAACGAATCGCCATCCCCAACGATTCATATCTTATCGATTTCTTTAATGATCTGTATGCTTACTTTGGGAGCGGACCTCCTGTCTACTTCGTGACACGGGATGTCAATGTTACAGCGAGACATCACCAGCAGCAGCTCTGTGGAAGGTTCTCGACATGCGACGAATTTTCGTTAGGTTTCGTTCTCGAGCAAGAATCCAAGCGTCCCAATATTTCGTATATCTCGGGCTCGACTGCTAGTTGGATCGACGACTTCTTCTACTGGCTGAATCCTCAACAAAACTGCTGCAAAGAGAATGGCAAGACATGCTTTGATGAGAGGAATCCGCCATGGAATATCTCCCTTCACGGTATGCCTGAGGGATCCGAGTTTATTCACTATGCAGAAAAATGGGTAAAGTCACCCACAGACGAATCCTGTCCCCTAGGCGGCTTAGCACCTTACTCCAATGCCCTGGTTCTTGATTCAAAATCTATAACAACAAACGCAAGCCATTTCCGCACGAGTCATACTCCGCTTCGCAGCCAGAAAGATTTTATCAATGCCTATGCCTCCGCACGTCGGATTGCAAACGGCATTTCGGAAACGCATAAAATTGATATCTTCCCTTATTCCAAATTCTACATTTTTTTTGACCAATACGCATCCATCGTTCGCCTTACGGGAACGCTTCTTGGATCCGCAATCGCCATCATCTTCGTTGTCACTTCAATTCTCTTGGGCTCTATAGCAACTGGAGCAGTCGTGACTGCAACAGTTATGATGACGGTTGTCGACATCATCGGAACCATGGCTGTTGCCAACGTTTCTCTGAACGCCGTCTCGCTGGTCAACCTGATTATCTGCGTTGGAATTGGGTTCGAATTCTGTGCACATGTTGCGCGTGCGTTCATGTTTCCTTCCAGTCCACTCCTGGAACAGGCTCGGGGTAAATTCCGCCATCGGACAGCACGGGCATGGGCGGCGTTGGTGAATGTTGGCGGCAGCGTTTTCACCGGTATCACAGTTACTAAACTTCTAGGCGTGTGTGTCCTTGCATTTACTAGAAGCAAGATATTTGAAATCTACTATTTTAGAATATGGCTGGCGCTGGTAATATTTGCTGCATCTCATGCGTTGATATTCTTACCGGTAGCTTTGAGCTTCTTTGGAGGTGACGGTGAGTCCTCCTAACACGTTGATTTTCTGTCGCATTTTACCTATATATAGGGTGTGAATGCCCAGATATACTGATACGATTTTCGTTTTGTCTTGATAGGATATTCTGATCCCCAAATTGACGGGGGCCTGGAGGATGATCTTGCTTCCAGAAGGTACCGATCATTACTGCCGGACGACGACTACGATTCTGAGGACGACTCGTGAATTATTTACTTTTATATCCCCGAAGATGCTTTTATCTCGTTGCTCGTTTTTGACATGATTGTTCCTTTCTTTACCTTTCCAGCAGCTGTTGGCATAGCCTTGGAAACCCAATCACACTTTATAGACACGCAACGGGGAATCAACAATATATGTCGGCTAGAGAATCTGGGCGGAGTTTCGTGTGAGGGAAGGAAAGGATAGCTATTGATATGTGAGATTTCTTATACCTGTACTGTATATGCGCATAGTCTTATGGTTTGCACTCGATGATCTGGATCTTCTCTTGATCCCCATGTTGTTCACTTGCCGCGTTACGATATTTGGATATTAGGCCTGAAAGCCGCATGACTTTTAGCTATATTTAATTTGATGATTATCCACGGTAGACTATATGTGGTACGCAGCTATCCCATTGGGCATTGGGCGATATATGCACAATGCCAATTCGATATAAATAAATTAAATACCTGCGACATTCTCCTCTTTATTCTATTTTGACCCAATTTTCTTCCATTCGAGGTTGCTGATGTAAACAATGCAAACATGGGATCTCCACCACCCCACCAAAACAGACTAGCGGCCGCCGAAGAAAAATATTGAAACATCCCACTTAAACACCAATTTTTCTTCTTTTTCTTATATATTTCCCAACCTTTCTCCTCTATTTTCTCTCCTGTCTTTCCTTTCCCTCCTCATAAGATACACCATCTTTTTCTTACTTGTTAAGGTAGTTCCTTTCTTCAGACTGGCTGGGCTTCCGCATCTGCTGCCAAGGGAATTCACGTATCTAACTCAACCGTCAGCCCAATTCCCTCTCACCTATTCGAGTATCAGGACCTCAAGAGTAGTCCATCATGGACCAGCAGCGATTCTTGCAACAGCTGCAAATCGTCCTTGATCGTGAGTGCCCAGGCCTTCATGTGCCTATCCTCGTAGAGCCGTCAGGAGTAAACATTTGCTGACTTGATGAATTCGTTACGATTCCGTAGCAAATTTGGGCAGCGTCAAGGAAGCCACTGGCGCCCTGAAGAAAGAATTTTATACCCAACCAGAATCACTCCTCTTCCTTATCCAAGTCGCCACCTCCCATGATGACCAGAACCTGAGACAGCTTGCCGCTGTTGAATCGCGATCCCTCGTTAACAAGCATTGGCTCAAGATTGCCGGGGAACAGAAACCACATATTAGAGAGCAGCTGCTCCGTGCGGCTCTAGGAGAGGGTGGTCCATTAGTCCGCCACTCCTGTGCCCGTATCATTTCAGCCATTGCCAAGATTGATCTCGAGGACGGGCAATGGGCGGATCTTCCCGCTTTCCTGCTCCAGGCCGCCGTAAGCCCCAAGGCTGATGAGCGTGCGACTGGAATGTACATTCTCTTTACCATTTTGGAAACCCTGGGCGAGGGTTTCCAAGAAAAATTCAGCGACCTTTTTGCTCTGTTCGAGAAAACCATTCGCGATCCTGAGAGCGCTGAGGTTCGCATCAACACCCTTCTGTCATTGAGCAAGCTGGCGATGCACTTGGACTCGGATGAACACGAGGCGCCAGTTAAGGCTTTCCAGAATATTTTTCCCGCTATGGTTGCTGTCTTGAGAGACTCGATTGATCAGGGCGACGAGGACCGGATCATCCAAGCTTTCGAGGTTTTCCAGTCACTTCTTGGCTGTGATCCCCAATTGATGAATCCCCATTTGAAAGAGCTCGTTCTCTTCATGAACCAACTTGCTGCCAACACCGACTTGGCCGAGGATACCAGAGGCCTGGCCATTAGCTTCCTCATGGAATGCGTCAAATACCGAAAATTGAAAATCCAAGGCATGCAGATTGGCAAACAGCTTACCCTTGCTGCTCTTCAAATCGCAACCGAGCTGGATGATGCTACCGTTTATGATGATGGTGACATCACTCCAGTCAGGTCCGCATTAGATCTTTTAGACTTACTTGCACAGAGCCTCCCACCAAGCCAGGTTGTCGTGCCTCTCCTCAACGCTTTGGGGCCATACTTCAACAACAAAGACCCCAATTATCGCCGTGCAGGTATCATGGCTCTTGGCATGTGTGTCGAGGGCGCTCCCGATTTCATCAGCACTCAGATGAAAGAGATCTTTCCTGTCATCTTTCAATTGTTGAACGACACTGAGCCCAAGGTCCGTCAGGCAACCCTGCACGGTGTTTCGAGAATCGCAGATGACCTTGCCGAAGACGTCAGCAACCAACACCAGCAGCTCATGCCCCTCCTCATGAAGAACCTTGCCAGCACAATGCAGGAGTGGAAAGGTGAGGAAAACGGGCTGGTCATCGACATTATGAAGGCTGCTATTAGCGCCGTAGACTCTGTTGTTGGCAGCTTGAGTGAGATTGATGTTACACAATACTTGGTAGAGTTGGTGCCAGTTTTGCACAAGTTGATCAAACATCCAGACTTCAAGATCAAGGCTCTTACTGCCAGCGCTTTAGGATCCATTGCATCATCTGCTGGCAAGGCTTTCCTCCCATTCTTCGATGAGTCGATGCATCTCATGCAGGATTACGTCACCATTAAGGATAGCGAGGATGAACTGGAACTTCGTGCTAGTGTCACTGACGCCATGGGAGAGATGTCTACCTCTGCTGGACCAGAACACTTCAAGAACTACGTTCAGCCTTTAATGCGCGCCAGCGAGGAAGCTCTCCAACTTGGCCACTCCGGCCTGAAGGAAAGCACATATATCTTCTGGGGCTCCATGTCAAAAGTTTATGGCGAAGACTTCACTCCATTCTTGGAGGGAATAGTAAAGGGGCTTTTTACATGCCTTATACAGGAAGAAACTGATCTTGAGGTTGAGCTTAGCGATGCCGCGCGTGACCTTGTTGGTCAAGAGGTTACCATTGCTGGTCGCAAGGTTCGCGTCGCTGCCGCTGGCGACGATGAGCAGGACGTGTCCGTCCTCGATGAGTCCAACATTGAAGATCTTGATATCGATGAGGAGGACGACTGGGAAGATCTCACCACCGTGACTCCTCTCGCCCTTGAGAAGGAGATTGCAGTCGAAGTTCTTGGTGAAATTATCACCCATGCTAAGAAGGCCTTCCTTCCATACTTCGAAAAAACAATTGAGCAGATCCTTCCCCTCTGCGAGCATCCATACGAAGGTGTCCGAAAGAGCACCATCAGTACCCTTCACCGCTCATATGCTGCTCTATGGCAAGTTTGTGAGGAGTCTGGTCAGATGGAACGATGGGTCCCTGGCAAGGGGATGAGGATGGTTGAGCCTCCCAATGAACTGAAGAAGTTCACTGAAATACTGATGACTGCTACGATTAAGATGTGGACTGACGAAGAAGACAGGTACGTGCAAAAGACTTGTTTTATGTTCATGAATTTTCGCCTTGTTTTCGGGTTTTTTTTTTGCCTTTTATCTTTTTCTATGATGACACACCTTCGTAATCCCAGCTCACTCATACACACAAAATGTGTGATTGATGTAAATACGAATTCTTCCATTGTGAAGCTGAGAAAATATCTAACCACTTCTACTGCTCTTTGAGCATTCTGCTGTTTTGTTTTGTTGGATATTTACGCATTTGGAGACTGCCTTTCAATCACTAACATTATCAATTTTTCTAGGGCGACCGTTGCTGATATCAACCGCAATGTTGCCGAAAATCTCAAATATTGCGGACCGTACCTTGTCGCGGATGCCTCTGTCCTCAACAATATCGTTACCATGGTCACCACAATCATTACCAAGCAACATCCCTCTCAGCAAGATTTTGGTGTGGATGATGACGACCGTGCTGCCCTGGAAGAACTCTCTGAGTTTGACTGGGTGGTCATTGACACCGCTTTAGACGTTATCTCCGGCCTTGCCATTGCACTAGGTAGCAGCTTCCTCGGACTATGGCCTCACTTTGAACAGTCTGTTCTCCAGTACGCTGGCAGCAGTGAGCCTCTTGAAAGATCCACCGCCACTGGAGTTATTGCAGATATCATATTTGGTTTAGACGACGCCATCACACCGTTCACATCCAAGTTTCTTCAACTACTCCTGCACCGTCTTGGCGACGAGGATCTCCAGACAAAGAGCAACGCTGCCTACGCCATTGGACGACTTGTCGAGAAATCGAACGACGATGCGGAGATTACCAAAACCTATCCTACCATCTTAGAGATATTGGAGCCCTGTCTACATATCGCCGATGCTAGACTTAAAGACAATGCTTCTGGCTGCCTTAGCCGCATGATTCTGAAGCACCGTGATAACGTCCCTGTGGCTGATGTCCTTTCCGCCCTCATCGATGTCCTCCCTCTCAAGAATGACTTCGAGGAGAACGAACCCGTTTTCCGCATGATTTGCCAGTTGTGTATGATCTTCCTTTCCATTCCCCGCAGTTTACAAGAATCACATTGTAACACATTCACTAACACAATGATCAGATAAATGGGAAGACGCCACTGTCACCGGCCTAACCCCACGACTTATCCCCATCTTCCAATCTGTACTTACTGGAGAACCAAACCAACTCGACAAGGAGCGACGCGCAGAACTGATCGAGCTCGTCTCTTGGCTGAATAAGATGCAACCGGGGGTGGCTAGTTGGATAGAACAGTTGCATCAATAATTTGGTTGCCCCCACAAACCTCCCTCCTTTCCTTTTGCCATTCCCAGTAATGAAACAGCGGAAGGTGACGACTTACGACACAGCAATTACTATTTTTTTCTTCTTCTTTTATTTCAAGAAATGCATTATGATGAATGTGGATAGCAAATACCCCCTTAGCCTGCAAGTCCGCACGACGCGGATGACGGGAGTATGAAGAATGGCTTGGCATGGTCTGGCATGGAATGGATTGTGATAGTGATGGTATTGGGTAAAAAGATATAGCATTGGTGTGCCGACGGCGGCCGGAAGGAAGGAGAAATTAATTGTATACCCCCTGCAAAAGTCGTGATGGGCCGGAAAAGGCAGAGTGAACTATGAATATATCCAACGGAATACGATGTTTAATGAATTTCGAGCTACTCTCATCAAAATTTTCATCGTTTGCTCAGTTTCCAACTTATATTCATACCCGACACCAGTCGTGATGAAAACGTCTTTAGTGAGAAGTTTTATTGAACCATGCTCCCGTTCTTCATATGTAGTGAGAAGACCCCCCCCCCCAAAAATAAAAGGCCAGTGTCCAAACCGTCGCTCCCATGTCTACAATTTCACTATCCATAGTCACAGCCCAATAATCATACCTCTTGGATCTTCACAATCACCTTCCCCTTCGTATGCCTCGTCATGCTCCGCTCATAAGCCTGTACCCAAATGGAAGCAGAACAATTTAGCAAAATACTCATTCCTCTTGATAAAAAAAAGATATATAAAAGCCTAGTAGTAGACTGCTAAATACCTTCATTACACCGTCCATCTCCCAGACAGAGCCCACGACAACTCCCAACTTCCCCTCCTCAAAAAACTTGCTCACTTTCTCGATCCTATGTTTTGAGGGGCCTGTCCTGACGAGTGAGTAACCACCCGGCCCACCGCCCAGGGATCAGGGGAGAGATACAACTGCTCATCACTGTACAGAAAGTCCGCCGCAACACACCCATGAAGTCTGTGGGGCATTAGAGCACACCGATACAGAGGAATGTTTGTGGGAGGCTTGAGATGGAGCGCACGAGGTAGGCAGCGCTATGCGTGTAGAGGTCCTGGACGCTGATGGTGTCAAAGATGAGGTCGAAAGGACCATTAGCGCTGTCGTGGGAGTGGTGCGTTACGGGATGGGAATGTAAAGGGTCGTGGGTGGTGTAGTGGATGACCTATTTTTGATAATATATAACGATAGTTACCCACTCACACACATCTTGGGTACTCGTCCCCACATATATATCTTCTTTTTTCTTTTGTCGTCTCGATAACTACGCACTTCATCCACCCTTACCCCCTTAACTGCTGCCTCACTGTTCACTGAACAAACCGCCACAACCCTCCCCGTCACCCCCACAATATCCTTCACGAGTTGTATAGTCATCAACCCGGTCCCGGAGCTACCTCCATTAACTAGTACCCTATCCCCCTTTTTCACCCGGGTCCTTGTCACAAGATTCATTGCCGTACAAGCCACAGCTGCCAACCCCGACGCCTCGGCAAAGGATATATTATCCGGTTTCCGAATCAAGCTCTCCGCCGTTGCAATGACGTATTCTGCTAAGGCACACGGCCTTTACGAACCGCCTCAAAGATGCGATCATTCATGCCCAGCACGGGAGCGCCGGGTGGGAACTCTGCTCGGAGAGCCGGCTTTGCATTGACAGAAAGAGCGACGACGATACCTGAGAAGTCGAATTCTGGGATCGTCGGGGGTATCTTTTGGAGTAGGATGGTTAGATAATAGGACATGATCATACGCATCGTGGGATTCCCGGAGGCATGTGAGACCTTTACGAGGACCTCAGGAGGGCCGAGTGTTGAGAGGGACGGAAAGGGTTGGTCCGTGGAAAAAAATTGAGGACTTCAAAGGATGTGAGCCAGGCCGCGAGTAGGTTAGCACGCCCGCTTTGTTAGCGGGAGGGGGTGCAGGTTTATCAAAAGGGCTTCCACGAGCTTGTGGCATCATGGCTAGAGAGCTCTATATGTTGTCACCTCTTTCTCTCGCTGGTGATTTGTTTGGAAATCTGTAGGCATTTTACTTGTTTTCACAGAAGACCCCGGTGACTCCCACAATGAAGAGAATCTGAACATGGGATGTCCTTGAAAACAGAGTACCCGTTCTCAAATAAATAAATAAATAAAAATAAAAAATGGTGCTCGGGGATATAATTGCTCCGTTCAGTGAAATGGATTGTCTGTGGACATCGAATATGATATGCAGACGATGTCCAATTTTTTTTTAATAAAAAAAGAGCTCTTTTGTGCTAAGTGAAGGACATTCCTTAGTGTTATTGCGCGGCAGACAGGCTTTCGGCGTTGATAACAAGTCATCTCGGTCTGAGTTAGCAGAGTGGAGGTTGGGGATAGAAAGTCAACGTCTTGATGAATAAATGACACGTCTACCAGGGGGTTGGTCAGTTAGTTGAGCAATTCAGGGGTTCGGCGCCGAAAAAATAGGGGGGGCTTCTTTAACTATGACCAAGAAACCAACCAAACCAATATCAATCACAGCACAATATGAATGTAATTCCTCCCGCAATTATCCATAACACCGGATGCCAGGCAGCGATCTATCACAGGATCTACTACACATCTACCACAACTAGTTACCTGTTACGTATTTGATGCGTGATCCGTGTTTGGTTACCACGATGTCATCACCCGCCGCTGGGGCTGACCAGCCCGTCAAGAATATCTCTTGCTAGAGCACACGCACCGAAGGGTAGTCAGGACAGCTCATGAGCCTGGTCTTCTTCTGTCCCATGCAATTCTATCTGCACCAGCCTTAACGCCTGCAGGATCCGGCGCATCAGGCCCCTAGCCGAAGCGCTCCCAGCATCTCCATGACAAACAGCCCGAATATGCTGATTCCATGTGAGAGAGGTCTTCCGTGATGCATGGCAGCCCCTGGTTTACCGCAATTGGGTGATTTCGATTCATCGAGGAAAGGACCAGAAATTTCCGAAGCATTGGAATTTACGCTGGTCGCAGAGAAAATAAGCCATCCGAAGAAGACCGCGGATAGCAGGCATCGTTCGTTTTCAGGCGCCCATGTTCCAGTGACCAGGAGCCAAAAACTTGTTTTATTACAAACGGGAGCATCCTTAGCCAGGTCTTCTTGAAAATTGAAATCGCACAGAAATTCTTACAGAAGGTGAAGTAAAAAGGGCCCGCACAAGGATTCTAACAAACAGCTGATGGAAATGACATTAGCCAACTACCTAAGGAGCTACAAAGTCATTTGGGTGCTTCGATAGTTAAAACTATCTCATTCTGCTTAACCTCGGAAGGTCGGGCCCGCTTCCTCTGTCTTCCTTCGGTGAAAGATTGTGTTTGTTCTGTTTTTAAAGAAAAGTTCAGGATATCCAGGTTCTGTCACTTGTTGATACAAAATATATCTCCTGTGCAGAGAAATCGTGGGGTTTTGCTGTTTACATCCCCATCACCATTCCTCATCCGTGCAAAATATGGGAAGATCTGGAGCAACCGAAAGAAACATCCTGCAGGTATTCTGGGATCAGGCTCTCTTTTGTTTCCTTTTCCCGATCTTTGGCAATCAATCAATCTATACCCCCCACCGTCCAACTCTCTATCTATTCCCTCATGGTATTTTGCCATCCATGATTAAATATGTGCCGACTTCAAATCATAGTGTTCCAATTGCTCCTGGGTTTTACGAGCCAAACAAACAATGGCCTCCATTGGAGTCAAAGACTCGCAGTTGCTGTTGTCCGAACCAGAAGGACTACATTTCCCGCAGAACAGCTAACCAGAAAGTTTCGTAAGATCTCAACTGGAAGAGCAATCAAAATTTACTGCTCTAAGCTCAACATCGCCTACAAAGAGGTCGCACTGAAGGATAGCTCCACCAAGGCCCAAACTGAGCCATGTCTGCATGTCCCACAGCCAACCTTGCACTTTGTCACTCCCCCGTCAGCCTCTGAAACTGGGCCGATACTGCTGTATTTTCATGGAGGGGGATACGTCAACCCCCTTCAAGCGCCCGGTCACATGCCTTTCGCTCTACGGTGTGCCGCAGCATGTAAAGCCAAAGAAGTAGTCTTTCTCGAGTTCTCTCTGGCTCCAGAACATCCGTATCCGTCGCAACTCGTTCAGGCCGTGGCTCCTCTTCGATATTTACTAAACGAGCTCTCCCTTCGGGCTGACGACATTATAATCGCGGGCGACAGCGCGGGTGGCAACTTGACAGGGTCGTTACTAACGCACATAGCTAAGCCGTCACCCTTATGCGGCACCACTAGACCTTGCTGGCCGCCAACTAGAAGCTGTGTTGTTTGTGAGTCCCTGGGTTATATTGGGAACCGATCAAGGCAGCTATCGTACGAATCATGGGAGGGATTTTCTCACCCTGGCACAGGAGAATTGGTTTAAGGCGCGGTGGAATGCTAATGGGATTGCCAATGAGGAAGAGGTATGGGCAAATCTACGTGAAGGGGAGGGTGCCACGGATGTTTGGAATGGGGTGTTTCCATCCTCCGGGGAGTCACAGGGCCTGGTTAAGAAGGCGATGGTCACAGTCGGCACAGCGGAAGTTTTGCTGGACAGTTGCCGGTTATTTGCTAGAAACTGCGTGAAGGCAGAGACGGTTGTCGCTCAGCGGGAAACTGACTGGAGTGTCTTCCATGGAAAGGATTTCGTTTTTGCAGAGTGTGAGGGTGCGGTCCATATCCAACCTGCGCTTGACGTTGCGGTGAAATACTATGAGGGATATATGATGCAGGCAGCTCTATCGCGGCTGAAAGCGTATGATGTTTGATTAATGTGGGGCCTGGCTCTGGTATTGATCACGTAGGATAACTAGCTGTTTCCCGTCAATATATATTTTCTCGGACGCCTCCTTGTCCCTTTTCATGTTTCCATTGTCTCAAGGGGATCTTATAAGAACAGTGTTAGCCTGAACCAATTTTGTAAAGACTGTGACACTCTATGCTGTGAACAATGCCTCCTGGCAATATCACGTTTGCAGGTGGTAAATAAAGTCAACTTATGCCAAAACCAAAGGTTGGTAAATAAAAGTCAACAATGCGTTAACTATGGGTGACGTCATCAGAGGCATATTAACTATTTATAGATCAAACATTTGACGCCGCATGATTTTGGTAAAGCTCCAGTTCACAGCAATATATGGAGTTTCAACAAGCTGGAATTTTGCTCGCTCAAACCAATTCTGGAACCAAAATGAAAGTATACATATGAAGACATCTAGCCCCTCCCTTACAGAGATCTCATGCCCATATCCCTCCCTCCTCCCTCACCCTAGGAGGAATCATCAGCAACCTCGCGCGTCCACGCATCTCTTAAGCTCTCACTGACGCGAACCTCTGATCAAAGTTACTCTCATCTATCTACTGAACCCTCACGACGGCCAACCTTCTCCTCCAGCAACAACATGGCTTTCTCCGCTGGCTCTCAACTCGTCAACTGCACGCTTCCCTCGTCTGGCTCCTCCGCGTCATCAACTGTGAGCAAACCCATCAAGGGAGCGACCAAGCCGTGCTTGAGCTGCGGGTGCGGTGACGAAGACTGCGACTGTTTTGTCTGTGTAGTTATGTGAAGATGAGTTTGGCGCTCTTTATACGACTTTTATGTTATGGCGTCGCTGCGGGAGATGGCGATTCAATTTTTGATGACTTCTTGACGCTGGATAAGGCGTTAGGCTGAATTTTCCTGTCTCTTTTCCTCCCCGATGAAGCGAGATTAGCCCCGGTTCAGCAGAAAGGATTCGCAGAAACGGCTGTGTCATTTTGTTTAGTTTCACATCTGTTTATGTCTAGCGGTTATTGTGTTTATTTGTTTATTTTGTGCTATTACTCAAGCAGGTGAGGATGGGCATCTGCTTAAATTGGGGGTGTCTAATGGATTATGAGGTGATTGCGGCCAAGTGTGATATATGACATGAATCTCCTGTCTAATAATATATGAATTGTATTTTCCACTTCAGCTGCCTCCCACCGTATTCAAAAAAATAAAAATAAAAATAAAAATAAAAATAAATAAAAATAAAAAATATGCTGAAAAAGAATTAGAGTAAACAAAATAACAATCTAAATGCTAAGCTAAATAGGAATCCAAGCCCTTCCAGAATGACACAGACGCGAAAAAAAAAAGCGGGGAAGTAAATAAAAAGGAGAGGAAGACAGTAAAGTCTTCAATTACCACCAGCAGCTCCCATTATAACAAGCGTCTGTAAAGCCCTCCGGCGATCGATCTCCTTCTTCAGCATCAAGAGACAAGTAGTCACGACCAGCGCCTCATCCATGACTTCGAATGCATTCCGATCAAACACCAGCTCCCCGCCATTCCCTGCTGTGCACATCGACGTCTTCGCTGGCATTGTTTGTTCATTTCGTAGAAGATGCGCGACTCTCCTGCGGCCCGCAATTTCAATTTTTTCCAGCACCATGAGCTGTTGCTTCTTTCCATCCGGACCGCGCTCCTTGACATACCTCCATTCGAACGCAGATCCATCGGGCGTAGCGAAGTTTGTTGTTCGTGAAATCCACTTTCCCGTGACTTTGATCTCTGAAGACGCCTTTTCAGACTCGGCGGAACGACGAATGATGGGCGCCTTATTTGGTCCAAAAAAATACTCTGTGGAGATAAGGTTGCCGCCCTGGGGCGATGAAAGAGTGCAATTCCCTGACCAGCGCTTCTCACGTGTGGAAATGAATGCGAGTGATCCGTCTGGGTTGCTGATGTGGATTTCTAGCTGTGAAACCGGTGTGGGAAGGCGAAAAAGTTCTTTTCCACGGGCGTCAATGAAAAGTGAGGGCCCCGGTGTGAAGGACGATGATGTGTTAAAAAGAGTCTCGGCAGTGTTAACTGAGTGGATTGAAGTTGCGGCAGAACCCTTGAGGATTTCTATATCCTTCTCTGAAAAGCCCTTGTCTGCAACGGAGTGATCTGATGCCATCGTAGGAAAACGGAAGAAGGTAGCTAGCTCTGTGAAGAGTTGGTCTCTGATAGAATACCTAGTGTATTTGTTACTAGAGAGATAGCGGATAGCTGATTATGCGTGAGGTGATTATGAGGAGAACAGCAATTCCAAAATCCATCTTCTGGCGGAGCATGAGGGATCTTAAAATACCAGTCCATGTCAACCACGCCGACAAATAATCTTCAGAAAGTCAATGTAGCGCCTAACATGACATGCTGGTCAGCCTCGCCGTCCTGACCAGGCGGATAGCTCCGTAGCACTCCCTCCACGTCTACATGGGGCTGTGGTCTGAGGCGCAGGAAGAATCGTGTGAGGAAACTTGTCGTATCTCGTATAGGTAAATCGCATTTCGGCCGCTAATTCACTAACAAACCAGTCAAACCAGTCAAACCAGTCAAACCAGTTAGTTAGTTACTCGTCGATGAATTAAGCTATTTCCAAATAGGGAAAGAGCTCGTAACGGATCCCCAAACCTTAAAAAAGTGTGGGGAAGCGGATGATGTAATCACTTCGTCTGTGGCTCTTCCGCGGGTGTCGAACGTTGTTTCGAGCGTATTTTGCGCCATGAACCCTGGTATTTTGGTCTCTGGTCTCACATTTGAAGGCGAAAGTAGTGGAGCAAGCCGTGAATATCAATAATCTACCGAATTCCATGGGGAGAAGGGCGCTGTACGCGCCAACTACCATCAGATTTACACCGTGTTGGGTTGCGACCAGGTTGTGAATTAGCTCTAACATCATATTGGTGTCGGTTTTTGATAGTGCTGAAACAGTCGTTGAATATCTTGCCAATTGCGAGCTGTCAGCTTGAGTGCTAGGTCCTAAAGATTGGTGGATAGTTGTCGACGTTGCTGTCCTTAAGCACGGCATGCCGCTATCCCAGTTAGTATCGTTAAAACAACGAAAATTCGAAACCACAAAGGCAGCTGTGTGTTCAATGGCACTGTTCAAGTTCCCTTTGAGGTTGGTGCGCATACTTTTTATCTTTCTGCTAGCTCTTTTTGCCCTACGGCGGTTCCTACCAAATACATCATCATACGACATTGAACACTGCCGCTCTTACTGGTCTCCTTTCTTCAACCTGCAGACAATTTGCCCACAATGGGCGCAAATGGCAGTTATTCTGGGAGGTGCAAAAGTACCATCCGTAACTATTCGTCAAGGCACCGTCATTGGTAGGGTTCTGCGACACAACCTGCCACAGTCGGTGGAAGCGTTTCTTGGGGTTCCATATGCTCTTCCTCCAACCGGCAAAAGAAGATTCATGCCACCGATTCCTGTCAATTCATCGGAGGATGTTATTGATGCCACTAGCTGTGGGAATAGGTAAGTGATAGTTTGACCCTAGCTGTTTTGAGTTTTGGAAGCTCAAACTCGAAACCTTGGCTAGGTTCTAACTGAGGTGCTAGGTGCCCATCTTCCCCTCTTATGCCACTCGATGGATGGTCTGAAAATTGTTTAAACGTGAATATATTCCGTCCACAAACACGAGATGCGACTGAGAAACTACCGGTCGCAGTATATTTCCATGGTGGTGCTTTTAACCTTGGCAGTGGTAGGTTTATGCACTTCATTCAACACACTTAAACCGTCCGGAACTCGAATCAGGCTTACGTCAAAATAGGGGGGAGCCACAACTCTGCATCCATGACGGCATGGTCCGAAAAGCCTTATATTGCAGTGAATTTTAATTACAGGTGAGGCTTCTCCTCGACTTCTGTATTCTGCCGTGAGCTGAAACATGTAAAGACTTGGGGCATTTGGCTTTCTGTCATCGGAGCTTGCAGCAAAGGATGGGGCCCTCAATGTGGGCCTGCGTGACCAGATCCTCCTGTTGAAGTGGGTTCAAGAGAACATCGGAGCATTTGGAGGAGATCCGAATCAAGTCACCTTATTTGGATTGTCCGCTGGAGCACATTCTGTAAGAAATCAACGTATTCAAACCCTGCCCTCCGCTAACGTCACCAGATTGGCCATCTTGTCATGCTTCACAACGAATCAGCACCACCCATATTCCACCGTGTGATGATAGAATCAGGTGCCACAACTTCCCGCGCCGTTTACCCCTACAACAGCAAACTCCATGAATACCAATTCACAGAATTCCTCGTCGAAGCCGGCTGCTCTAACCTCACAGAACAAGAGACCTTCCCATGCCTACGTGGCAAGCCCGCGATAGCCATCGCCCGGGCCTCATCCAGGATATTCTCTCGCTACGAACCTTCAAACCGCTGGGCATTCCAACCAGTCATCGACGGCAATATCATTAAACAAGCTCCAATCCGCGGCTGGGAATCCGGCAAGTGGAATAAAGTCCCCATTCTGACCGGCTACAACACGAACGAAGGAGCCCCTTTCGTGCCCTCTGGAATGTCCAAGTCTGAAGAATTCATCGAATTCTTCCGCACGCTTATCCCCGCCATGCCCGAATCGGACCTGCAGAGACTCGACAAAATATATCCAGATCCACTAAAAGATCCATCCTCTCCCTACGTAGAGATGCGAAATATTGAAGTTGGTTCTCAGTTCAAACGAGCAGAGGCCGCCTACGGCCATTTCGCATACATATGTCCCATACGACAAACAGCTCACCACGCATCCAGCGGCCAGAAGGCACCTGTCTTTCTGTACCACTGGGCTCTGATCAAGACTGTCAAGGGTGGTGCAAGCCATGGAGACCAGGTCGAGTACGAAACCTATAGCCCCGCCGTGCGGAAGATTTCTGATGCGCAGGATGAAATGGCCGGGACGCTGCATGCGTATTTCACGTCCTTCATCACCACTGGTGACCCTAATGCAGTTCCAGGTAGATTTCCGAATCGGCCTGTGTGGAAGGCATTTGGTGGGGGATGGTGGAAGAAGAACAGGACTCTCATGTTGTTTGGAGATGGAAATGATGAGAGAGCTGGGGGCAATGGGGTGGGGATAATGGCGCAGGTGGTCGACGATGATTGGAGTCAGGAGGAATGCGAGTTTTGGTCGGAAAGGAGTATAATGACAGAATCTTGATGATCGGAACATTTATTTTTTATTTTTTATTATTTATTATTTATTATTTATTTTTATTTTTATTTTGGTTTTTGGGCAGCATATAAATGTTGGATGGTGTTTCGAGCTTTTTTTTAAAGGGGTGCGCATGATCTATGTATTATATAGTTAAACAAACATCTAGGTATGGTTATTAACTATACCCTCGTCTGTCTATTCGTTATCACGAATCCCAACATCTTCTCTCACCACCAATTTCTAAATGACACTGTTATTTCCCCCGTTCCCCATTTCCTATCCAACTTCGGCGGATTCCCTCAAATCTTTCATCTAAACAATTTGCCAAACCAGCGGACCAACCCCAATCTAGCTCAATCTAATTAGGCCAACCGCTTCACAAAGCCCCATGCGCTTGTACCTTGACCCACTTACCCTTACCCATCAGCAAGGTGGTGAGAACCGCTGCGCAGCTAACTGTTAAGTCGCTAACACCAATCTACCCTAGCGCTTGTCCAGGAATTAAAAGGTCACATCCTAGAGCGACCATCTCCGTTACCAAACGACAGGCATTCGCATTCACATCACTCCCATCAGTAGTCCATTCGCGTCCCTTCTTGGAACTATTTTTCTCAATCTCTTGTTTGGTGCTATTTGGCTTCGTATCTTGATTTGCGGACGAAGATGCCGGCCCCAATAACTGCCAGGTAATCCCCACAATGCCAAAACCATGGGGTAGAACCAGAGCTTATAGCTTTCAAGAAGAACTTGTCCGGCCCAGGGGCAGGGATATATATTTAGTTCGTCGAACTGGTGACAGTTTGGTTATTGGCCATAAGCCTATGATTTATCAAATTACCCTTGAATTATATGCATAAGGGGAGAGTGTCAAATTCATGGAATTTGACAAAGAGATATGGCCGGGAATATTTGATGTCGCAGCATTCTCCGCAGGAATTTTTCTTCATTGGAAAGGGTTGGGCGTCGTGTTATAGAGGACTTACTGCTAGCTTCCGCTGTTCGTACCAAAAAGCAAGCAGGGAACTACATCCCATATCCAGGTTCCTGGGTTATAAATGTTTAAGTTTTGCACCCGTCTCCACCGCTTCTAGAAGTGGAATTTTGGGGGGACAAAAAGAATGCAATACTATCGTGGAGGTGTCATGAAAAGAAGAAAGCAAATACTACATAGTCTAGCAAATCTTCCAAAGTTCTCTAAAACACCCCGCATCAAAGCTCTACCGCCCCTTTCCACCAGAAATATCCTGTCCCAGCCTGTATCCACCCACTTTCTCCCATTCAACCTTCTGTCTCGTTATAGGCAATTGCCTGCGCAAACCCTTAAACGCGCCCTCAGATAATCTGCTAAAAGCATCGCTAAGTTCGAGCTGCTGCGCCTGTTCAGCAGCTGCGATTTGTTTGATAATCGTTTCCGCTGAAGAGTTTGGAGAGAGTGATATGGATACGGGTTTCTTGGTATTGAGGGATACGTTCCCGTCTTCGTAATAATGGACGTTTATGTGAATGGTGCCCGTTACGGAGTCCGCAGAGGGCATAGGAATGGTATAAATGGCTCGATAGCGGCCGTTCCTAGTAATGGTGTAAGCTGCTGTTTACTTTTGGTGAACTGTATATGTCCCAATACTTTGATACATTGTCATCCACGTTGGCGGGATACGCTGCTTAACAGGAACTGGAAAGGAGCATACCAGAAATTGTTCGGGGAGTATTTATTCGCAACCAACATGATGGCAACAGCAGTGTCATTGCCCGTAGGGTACACGCCGTACGAGCAGCTTGGATAATGCTCTTTCGCATGCGCGGAAAGTGATTTAAAGAGGGACTTACTAAACAATCGTTAGAAGTTAATATATCCAGAGCAAATTACACCAAATGTAATTGAAATAAGGAATCGTACATAAAATCGGCATGCTGCGAGTCAAGGACATATGATTGTGGTGAGGACGCGGTCTTTACGACATGAGACAGTTAGTCAAATGAACGTTCAGAAATCTAAGGCCTCCGTAGCAGCACTGAGGTAGGGGTATACACTAGATATACCTGCGTGACGTGATCGAATGTAAATGACGTCTGGCTCTGTACGTCGAAGTATCTGTCGTCGCCAAGTTTATTATACCCACTAACTATGACCTATAATTGGCAGACTATCAGTAGCCATTCAAACAAGAAACCCACCGCCGCGGAAAGCAGTGATTCCGATTTCCCAGGTGAGTTTGCGGTATATGTATGTACCTCTTCGCTACTACCGGGGAGCTTCACAGTCGCGAGTTGTTCCTCGTTGTATTTCTCGAAAGCAGGCGCAAGGGACGAGATCAGCCCGGGCCCCTCAGGTGTTAAATTTTTGATAGCTGCAAGTTTCGGCAAAATATAGCCAGATCAGTGGTCTGAAAAGCCGGGAGATGGGGCGAGAGGTTCAAGGAAAACGGTATGGGGACATAGGGGTAAGAATGCGATAGAGCTAGGTACCTGCAACAACATCTGAGAGCTATCTCTAACATTAGAACACAATACGAATAAAAAGCTGACATATCTATTATCATTCATACCTCTCCCGGAGGAGCACCTCTAATGAACGAGGATGCAATCTCCATGCTGGACGGCATTGCGGTGCTCCGCGATTAGGACGGCGGTGGGCCAGAATGGTCCAATTGAAAGATGAAAATATTCCTGGTATAGAAAGCGGGGCTTGAATACAGCAATAACAAAATTGTTGACTGAAAAGATTGACTAGCTAGCTCTACATTCAAATGGTTGGGAGAGAAAAATGCGCGGAGAGAGTTGACAGATGGCGAAGCTCCCCGCCTTGTCTCGAAGTTGGGCGCGTGAAACGCTAAAATTGACGCCGATTAATAAACGCGATAGGCGCTATCTATAACCGGTCTTATTGTTGCCTTTCTGAGAGTCCTTTTCCAGGGAAAATTCTTGATCTGAGGTCCTTCTTAGACAACGAAAATTGTTTAGCTCTCTATATCTGCTGGTTAAATAAAAGGATTCTCGTAGTTATTTAGCCGTGGAAATAAAGAGTTAAACAGCAATTCAGTAAAGATTCATTGAAACAAATTGTCCAGGAATAAACAGGCTGAGAGAACGAGAAACCATGACATGCAACATAAGGGAAAAGAGAAAAACCTATGTCACGCCTCCGCTAAAGGAAATCCATAGCTACATTGAGAAGAGTTTAAAAAAAAAAAAAAAAAAAAAAAAAGGAAGAAGAAGAAGAAGAAGAAAAGGATGGCACAAAGGAAAAAGAAAATGGAAAGCTAAGAGACACAAAAACTGGCACCCATTTCATTCATTCAATCAATCAATCAATCAATGCTCATATTCATCAACCCATCGTTCGTCTCATTCATCCCCTGCATCCCAATCCGTTTTATTATCCCAGACTCATTTCCCCGCCCTCCCTTCCCAGGAGCAGCAGAAGACGAAGCCGAGTTTCCAGCCTTTGATGGCTGCTGTTCCCTCTGCAAAGAGCCTGACTGAGACGCAACTGGACTATTCTGCAAACTCACACCAGGTGAAACAGCACGCCTCTTCAACATGGTAAGATTAAGCATCTCATCGCGCCTGCGCTTGTTGTTTGGGCGGGAGGCCTCAGCTTCGACACGTGAAGGGACAAGAACGGGTTGTGAGGGGGTCTGCATATTATTATTTTGTTGGTCAACTGGAAAAGGGGGAAATGCAGATGGTGGAGTCCGCATCAACATGTCTTCGGTAGCGGTAAGCTGTTGTGCTGCTGGTGGTGGAGTCTGGAAACGGCCACCATACGTATCCAGAAGGCCTATCCCGCGGGAAGTGTGTGTTGGTTGACGGTCGTAGCTAGTCGATGATTGCCCTGCTGCGGCCAAGCTGGCAAGAAGACCGTCTTTGCTGGCCACAATGGACAGTTCCTTGTGTTCAGAGACCTCTGGGGTTGTTAATGATGGGGATAGAGGTGGTAAGTCACCGTCGCTTTCGCGAACTTGGCGGATAACTTCAGCTTCACGCTGTGCTTCAAAATCAATGGGAGCAACTTCCTCAAGCAGAGCTGCCCGGATGCGGTCAAAGTTTTTCGGTTTTGGCTGTTGGCAGCACTGTTAGTGGATGGCTCTGCGTAAAATCAATTTTCTTTATATATCAAGGCAAAATTTACCAGTAAATTCCCTCCTCTCGTTACCGGACGCCGAATTACACCATGTCGTCCGCCTTCTATGTTGGAACATCCGGCTAAGGAGCTGGATGGGCTACTAATTCCTCCTTGCCGATTATCATCATCGCTTACGTCTGATAAGCGAAGATCGCTAGTGCCAAGGCTTAGACTTTCCCGTCGCGATTTGACTTCACTCATTGACATTTCCCTGGAGAAGTAGCAAGTGGCCGAACTTTCGATGCTCTTTAAGGCTGGTGGTGAGATGGGTCCGGGACTGGGTTTCGCACTGTTCCCACTAGTGCTGGATGAACTATGTCTGCTTCTGCGAAATCTCGCGCGTTGAAAGCTGAGGAGACTGGTTTTAGCAGCAGAAAGCCCACCAATCCAATCAGCACTGGGATTTTGAGTTGTGCTGGGAGAAAATGGGTTCGAGAATCCATTTCCCGCACGAGCACCTTGCGGGGTCATCAGGATGGGGTCTTCCCTATCAGCCATATGGACGGATTCATCGTCATCGTCTTCGCTACTGGTGGAAGTATCTGACTCAAACATGTTGACGCTGCTCACGGAGCTGGATATGGCGGGTCTGTCGCCATGGGTGATCGGTTGCCAGAGGCCACCAGACATGTTTGGAGAACCCATCCCAGTTGAATTAACCGTACCCCGACGAAGAGGTATCGCTACCCCACGACCAACAACAACTGGAGAGGAGTCAGGAGATGATTCCGCTAGAGTTGAGTGGTGGAGGTTAGTACATGCACGTGAAAAATCCAGTCCCCTCGATCGTCGAGGTAAAACAGAAGCTGGGGAGCCATAAATGTGTGACGAATCGAGTTTCGGGGAGAGGGGAACTCGGCTTCCTCCAGCTATAGGGCTCCCAGTTATTCTCGCAGGCATCTGAAGTGACAAGCCATGTGTAGGATAATCGGATCTCTGGGGAGTTGCTGGACCCCTAGCTGTGACTGCACTATCATCCTTCGTCCGTTGGACATTTAACGGGTTTGGCGATGCGGAGGAAGGAGTTCGTGTAGATCCATCTGAAAGAGAGCGAGGTTTTACGGGAGAGCGACTGGTAGTTGGAGTCGACATTACAGGCTCCAACAATTCTGTTTTGCCCTCCAAGCCAGTTAATTTTGGTCTTAGTTGCTCTGTTAAATGGCTCCCAGATGGTGTGGCGGAGGCAGGATAGGAGGGTCTAGTTTGCGCCGAAGCTATGATGATTATATTTCCGTTGAATATGATAAATTGGCGTGGGGAGGAGAAACCCCTGGAGTCGCGCCCAAATTGCGTAGTTTTTGAGATATGACGCGAGGAAAAGCTGTTGGAGGATCGAGTATGAGAATTGTCCCTATGCCAGCGGAAAGGAGGTTATCAGGCTAAGTTTCGACGTTTGACGGCCATGGTTAACAGAAGTAAACTGCAACGTGAAAATTCATTTTCAGTGTTTCCCATCCACAGTACGTGAAGTAGACCACTGGAAGCAATGGCAATCAGAATCGACGGGGTTGGGGACGTTCAAGAAAAATCGCGCTCACGGATACGGGCGGGGGAAAGTTGACCGGGACGTTGAACGTTCAACGGTTGGTTAATGAATAACTGGTGGCAATGACGTAACGAAACTTCAGGTCACATGATTCAGCAAACAGAGCAAACAGAGCCTGGGCAAACCTCAGGATCTCAGGGGGTATTTCAGCCAATCACAGCGCCCCATCATGCCCCATCCCTTTAGGCTTCAATTTAGTTAAATAGGCTTCAATCTATGTCAGGGGCTTATAATAACCCCAGAGCAAGACGCATGCATTGATAGTGTCTCAATAGCGCTAAAGCGTAGCCTGAATATCGTGGAGGTTTAGGGAATAGCCTTTATAGAGACTAAGCAGAAAAAGAAGAATGCGACAGAGCAGAAGACTGTGAAGTGAAAGACTGCTGACCAGACCTGCTCACTCTCTAAATGTCAGTGAAATCAGACTTCTCTCACTAAATCCCATCCGTCTACCCCTATACAAACCTTCTTAGTAGAAAATGTAGTGGATTCAACTTCCACTGGTCTTTCTAGCACTCTTTTATCAAATTTTCTATCTCAATCATATTCTCACCACTCAGGTTGTATCATCAAGCTCAACACTTGTTATTTTTCTTAATTATTCTAATATCTATTCTCTTAGGAACTATATTCTTTAATATTTAATAGCTAATACAATTTCTATTCATAGTTGTTGAGAAATTCATTGAACTAGTAGGAAAAGCGATTTGTAGTTGGGGTGCTCATCGAGTGATGGAATATCACTATTTTCTTGACAGCTGCGAAATATTCCATCCCAATGTGTGAATTTTAACAGCAAAGCAATAGCACCGCGACCTCCATTATCTAATCACTTTAACATCCAAACAAAGATATCGCGTCATCATATGCCTTGATAATTGGATTGTATAAGTGGTTCAGGTCTTGTGGGGTACCAATGATGATTCCTTTGTCATTGTATGGAAAGAGAATGTCTTGTAGGGCCTGGCAAAGTGGTACAACTCCATGCAATTTTGAAGGGAACTCCCTCAAAATTAATCCAAATCCAAGGTTTTCAGCTTTGTTCATATGAACATACTTGGTGTTTGCAATGTCCTCATAGTTGCCAGTATACCAGGCACGAAGTTTACTATACCTAGAATGATTCCCCCAGCCATTACGGGCGCACTTCCAGATAAGCACGTAGAAAAATGATTCAAGATCATGCTGATAGGTATGGTCGATATTAAGAAGAACCTCAATTGCCATGAACTCCATTGTGCCAATCTGATAGTGTGCACCACTTTGCTCACTTCCAACTTCTTTGGCAAGGTCCAGATCAATTAGCATGCCAGAGTGACCACCTGTTTTTTCAGAATTGGTTATTATTATATTGTTCTCTGAAATATCCCGATGAAGAATGTTCTCATCCAGGTAAAGAGACTGGTGCACCTTTATTGCATCGCGAAGCGCTGTGAAAAACTCCAAGGGTGATCTGTAGTCATAGATTGGCCGGCTAGCAGGTGAGATCACTAGACACTAAAGAACATGGTTGTCATAGAGTTCCTCATCATTCCTGTCAAAGAGGCTTCGCTTGTGTGCTGACTGAATGGAGAAAGCTAGTCCATTCTCCTCCTGGGTGTGGCTTGATGATTGATTGATGGAATGCAATTGTTTGAATGTCTGCAGTCCTTTGTCTGAAAATCTGTGCTTCCTGGATGACAACTTTCGATGGATATCTAAGCAACAGGGCTCAGTGAGCGGCTGAGATTGATGAAATGAGGAGGTTGTGCTGGGGGCTGAGCTTTTGAAGTCATGGCGCTGCTTGCGGTTGAAGGTCAGGCCGCAGCACATGTCAGCAATACTAGTGATGGCACCATGGCCAATTATTCTGGCGACCCCCAGACATTCCTCTGATCTGCCAGCTTGAGGAGTGCCACCTCTGACCGCCTCTTGTCTGAAACCCATGAGAATTTGGCTACACCCTCCACTTGTCCATCATTTGCGAGAAAACATGTGGTTCCATGACACACGATGGCACACTGATAGGAAAGCATTTTACCCAGCATCACCTTTTTTTCCTCTGAGTTCCCAGGCTCTTTGATGACTATTGATTTGTTGCCATTTCTAGCAATAAAAATGTCCAGTCCCAGCTCCTCATCACTCATCATGGTGTAGCCCACAAGCACTTGAAAGAACCATTTTGAGTCCGTGTAGACATCAATGATGCCTGAGCTGTAGGGGCCTGAGCGGTCAAACACCCACACCTCCATCTTGGTTCCACAGACAGTGAACGCGTGAATGAACCGCCGGGTAGGCTGCGCAGCAAAAACCTCATGCACACAGCAGCTGATCTGCAGCAGTGTGGCTTTGGTCCTGATCTCCTTCTTAGATTTTTTGAGCTCATCAATCACCAGGATGTCTCTCCAGTTGTGTTTGTTAAGTGAGAGGCTCCCACCTCTAGCTTGCAAAAGAAGGTTGACTTGTTGTTCCATCTTTGAACCAGTAAGATCTGCTTTGCTCACTGTGGTGTAGTAGATGCTGCGTGATTCTGAAAAAGGTCTTCTGGAAGACAAAACCACCAGGTGAGGACATCATTCTGTGTAGGAGGATCAGGGAAACTGGGCCCAATTACCATTACTGTCTGGGGCCAGAACATGTTGACAGATGGCATCTGCTTTGCCACTCCAGTCCTTCTCCTCAAAGTATTTGTCAAAGAAGCCCTCGACATCTTGGAATGTACAGTCATGTATCTCCTCAAAGATTCTTGAATTCACCAACTCATGTGTCTGCTCAGAACCTTTCTGTGATGATGAGTTGGATGTGACTGGTGTGCCATCAAAGAAGGGGGGGATGCTCATTGGAGGAGTTGTTTGAGAGAAGTTGTCAATGAGACTAAATACAGCTGACCAGATGTCGATGTTCCATTTTTCAACACTCTGGAGTTCAATGTCTGGTGGTCTTTGGATGACCAGGCATATCAGCAGGCTATACTCATCGTACATGAAGTTTCCTTTTGCCTTTTGGAGGCGATTGACTAAGCGTGCTAGATCAGACGCCATATTTCCATCACTCATCTGTGAGTGAAGGCTGTGAGCTGCATCCTCTCTCTGTAAAGCAGAGAGGAGTCTTGAAATCGCCCATTGATAGAGTTGGTCAAGGCTATCAACAGCGTCATTGTGGGAATTTAGACACAACTCATAGATTTTCTCAGCTTCCTGAAGCATGCCTTGTAAATGATCAACTGAGTTGGTTAGAGGATGGTTCTTGATAATGTTGTGATCTTCTTGTGAAAGTCCCGCCATTTTGACGGTATCAAAAGACCGTTAAGTTGGTATAAGGTTAACTAGAAGCTAAAAAGGGTAAAAAGTTTAGGTTGGTATGCTAATTTTATATGATAAATAAGAAGCAAACACAGGAACAAAAATGCAGAATTGTTACAAAGTTATGATGTATGATATTTACGAGAGAAGATAGCTCGCTGAACAGATGCTTGGTATAATTAAGGGAGCATTGCGGTCAAAGGGTTGATACGGCTTGGCTCTGATGCAGAACGCGGATGTGGATAGAGCCGCCGAGCAAATCCTTGCCACATGATCTTTCTCTATGTGGCCAGAGTCAGAATTTCTGGTTTAGTCTCTCCTTCTAAACTTTTGTCAGGATTGTCTGGCAATGAATGCAATCAATCACCTACCGGATCAAATCATCTAACGGATCACCCCCATCATTCTATTTGACAAAATTTCAAATTAAGCAACAACCATGAGGAATTCTATATAGAACTTATATAGGATAGACACTTAGGTCTGTTGGCACTGCCTAATATTATGTCCAGGTGTATGAACACTTGCTGCAGGTTGGGGGTCTTCACTTCCTAGTCCCTGGGTTCAAATCCTCAACCCCTTCCTCTGTATGTTGGTCAGACTCCTGAGGTCTAGCAGTCCTAGCTAATGCATCTTGAGCTGTTAGGATTCCTTTCTCAGCTATATAAAAATGTGATTTCTCTCTCTTTCACTTCTGTCTGGTGTTGGCAGCTCTCAGCTCTGTGTTTTCCTTTGCTAATATAGCAGCACTATGCACGGCCAGCTGACATCTCTTCTCTATTCCCTGGCTGTACAAGAGATAGCTTATTATCTTTCTCAGCTCTAGTGATCACTCACTCTGGCTGTTGAGGTAACCCTCATCACAAAGTCAATCTCATCAAAGTTGTAGATATCCTTCAGCACAATCTCATACTTCTTTATTGTATGATTCATCAAGGCAAATCATTCACATAGAATCTTTGAATCCTCACACTGAGCTCACTGATAGTTGTATTTGTGTGAAAACTTTGTCTTTAGTTCAGGATGCTGTTGTATAAATCTATTGACTCAACATTCTTCTACAATAGTAGAAGCACTGAACCCATGCTTGCAGGTAGTAGATTGACCATTTCTCATACAGTCATGATTCAGAGAGGCTGTCCTCTCTCACCCACGGAGATTATTAATTGAACTAGAGATTCTTCTTCCATAGAGGTCAGTTTTGAATTTTTTTAACTGAGCATTCGCGTGTGTGATTTGACCACGTAGTCTATAGGTCAGGGAGGAATAGAGAATGTTATATAACTTAGAAGCAGCTCTAATAGTTGTAATTTGCTGAGCTTTATAAGCTTTAATGACTAATGAAAGCCTGGCTTCCTGATTAGAAGTCTTTTTAGTGAGAGTGGTTGGCATTCTGAATTTTTTAATGAGCATGAATGATTTGAATGAAAGTTGATCCGGTAGATGTTATGATCCGGTCGGTGATTGATTAACGTCGAGTCATATTTTCGCTTAGTCATCGCCGCACATTCACTTTCTGTTACTTATCTACCACTTACTTTACTAGCATTAAAAGATAGATGCTAGAATAGTGTCGGACAACTTCCATCACGTGACCTATTTTCCACCCTATATTGTCGTTCTCGTAGCATGCAAACTCTGCAATGAATCAAGTTTGCCATTCTGTCATATACAGCTCAGCTTTATGCAACATTAGCTATGCATCCAACACCCCCTCATCCATGTACTATGTACTGCACTCTGCAATTGCTGTTGCTCATGTTCCATCCCAGGCCTCGCTCCCAGATGAGTCACCAAATGCGCATTGACAAAACCAAGTAAATTGAAGGAATCCAGTAGATCTAAACAACCAAAATCAACCGCATATCCAATTCAATAAATACTCATTAATAGCATAAAAACACATCTTCTCAAGTAGACGTGGATTCTATCCCATCCCTAATAGCGTCCAGCATCACCCTACTTCTCCTTCTACATATCTTCTCCACCTCCACCTCCACAAAAACGGAACCTTCCCCTACGCTTCCACCCTCATCAAACTCAACAACTACGTTTACGCCCTTGCCTACCTGGCATTCTGCGTAGCCATCATCTGCTCCTTTGACCATGCCATACAATTATTTCATCCTAGACATCCCTATCTGTACCTCCTTGGTACATATGCGCGCGTACCCACGACGAGAAGATGAGACTTAAATACCAGCTCTCAAAGATCCTTTTTGTCCTGTCCACAAGGCGCAAGATATGCTGCCACTTTGCCTTTCATCATTTGACAGTATGTGAATCCCTTACTCCCAAAATCGTTAGTCCGACTCCATGCAAAAAGTTATTTTACCTTCTAACCAGACTCCTCAATATTGAAGAGGAATGAAAAGACTCCATACCTAACTTACATCCGCGTCCTGCACAACCGTACAGGATGGAAGAAAATTACCTGTCTAAATACTCTCCACCACGCCTTCATGTAATTCATATTTCGACGGCGTAGCAACATTTAGACCCATCCTGCCCTTCACGGGACTTTGCAGCTTGTGGTTGGTGTTTTTGGTGAGGGGTATATTATATATAGTAATATGCACATGACAGTGAGTGGAGCTGCTGTACTCGTATGGCCACATGTCGTCTCGATGGCGGTTCTGGATGTGTATTGCGTTCTGTTTGCGGTTCAAATTATGCAATAATTTGGAGGGGAAGGGGGACAGTGATGAGGAAAGAAGAGAGGTAGGGAATGAAGAAACCTACAGGGTATTTTGAGTAAAGCTGAGCAATTGAAATGTATGCAAGAAGATGGAGAGTTGTGTAAAGAGCGCCATTCCAGCTTTATGCATATAGGTCAGAGGCATGAAGTGCTGAACAATGAATTGTCGAATTTTGGGAGATACAAAGAGATATCGAAGCCCCCAACTGTCATTCTTGCACAACGGACATTCCATACGATAAAATAGATGATATCAATTTCCAAGAGAAAATCCAATGTTAGGTAAAATAAATTCTCAAAAGTGTTTCGACGGCCTACGGGTTCCGCCGTCAGTTATAAAATACACAAAGTAGAAAAGAGAAGAAGAATTCCGAAAGCATCAAGAAAAGAAATCTGTCACTTCAATAAACATAAACCCTCTGATCTAATTCCGACTGCCTGAGCCTATCTCCCTCCTCTGATATCTAGCACCAAACCCCTCAGATACGCCTCGAGCAGGAGTGCCATCATATAGACGCTCTTCCTCATCTCTCGCAACCTTATGGAATCCTTCAGGGGGAATATCCGCTCTGCTGTAGGGATTTTCACAATCAACCGATCGCAAAGGTGGATAATAGCGTCGGTATGTAAAGTATGCAGCTGACAGTCCCAGGAGTGAGCCAGCTGTTACGTCATATACATCATGTCGATAATCTTCCAATCGAGACATGGCGATCATCAGAGCGCCCAGTAGTGGAGATAGAGAGAAAAGGAATTTTGCCAGACCGGTTCGAGGCCGGAAGACACGTAACTGGCCAGAAAGAAACCTTGGGGCAAATATCAGCATAACAGGACGCTGGCGCGCTTACATAGGCAATAAGAGACCTTACATGGCGAGATATCCCAACCCCCCAAAAGCAATACTGCTATGCCCGCTCGGAAAACTCCTCCATCCCTCATGTAGTTTGTGCGAGTCGGGCTCTCCGCAAACATCAAGGGTAACCAGCAAATGTTCCGGTGTCCCCTTTTTTGGACTACAGCGCGAGAGAAGATCAGGCCTTGGCCTTCCAACCGCATTCTTTATTATATTGGTTAGAAAAGATGTCAGAGCAAGAGTGACGAGTAGCCCAAGTACTGAAACGTGGGCAAAATGCACTTCCGGTCGAATTATCACAGCCCATAAGACGATAACGACAAATGGAAAAACTTCCGAGTATATAATGGACCATACTATTTTCCGTTTTGCCAATGTCATCAGCATTTCTTCCCAACTGAAGGAGTATTTCATGAGTTATGTTTGGGGAACTCACAGACTGGAACCCTTTCCACCTCGGTGAAAGGGAATTGAATGGAGACATTGTCTAGGGTAAACATGCGATGAAAGGGAAGGACAAATATTTGTATCTAAACACCTCACTCAGCATGAAAGCCAAAGAGAAGCGAGGCACCAGGTGTATGATAAACGATTAGGCTGCCTATGGGAACAAACGAACCAGCATCCACCCCACCACAATTACTATCAAGCTCACATAGTCCGCTGCATACGAACGTTTCCAAAAACGAGCAAGGGCACCTAAGGCCCCAGGGCGACTGGAGAGAGCTGCAAGGGATGGTTTATTTTGGAATTCATCATCGTGCGGCATTCTTGGTGGACAGGCAACGTCACTTCTATACAAGGTTTATTCAACCATGTCTCAGGGAATATAAGGTTGTCCACGCTTTGCCAAGATCTATTCTATAAACTAATATAACAGAAATATATAACTTGGTAATGAAGGTGTTGGGCAAGCGATTTGGTCCGTTTTGGTGCTCGCAACTGTAGTTGGTTGATAGTTTCTGTTTGATGCTGTTGAAGTGCTCAAATAGTTCGACGTTGGGAAGTTGAAGTCTTGGCCTAGCCAATGACGGCTAGCCCTAGAGAGTTTAGATTAACCGCGCTATTTTTAGGAATCGATAGACGCGCGCAATAAACGAAGCGCAATTCAGCATCAACTCATGGCTACAGATCCCCTTTTTCGCTTCAGCCACGGCCAGCTTTCTACTCTCGGTCTCAAATTGATAACCACGGGAGATCCACGTACGCAGGCATGGCCGAAACCGGCCAACAGAAGGTCACAGCCGCATTTCCCCCTCCCCCTCCGTTCTGGAAGCACTTCACGACTCAGAACCTGAAGAAGCTCGAGGAATGCAAGAAACAGCACGAGGAGAATATCGGCTCAAAGCAAACATGGACCCCTGAAACTCTTCGCCTTCTCGAGCTTCCTGCGGAGCTGCGATTTATGGTTCCGCCCAAGGCCCCAATATCAGGTTCATACTCGTTATTTGGAGAGTGGCAATCGGTATTGCTTCTTCATCCGAGGCAATGTTGGCTACTAGTTTCATCCATCATTCCGCAACTGAACTAATGACCATGTGGCTTGCCTGTAGGTTTCCATAAACCTCCCCTCCCTCCAAGACCAAGGCATTGAGCAACTCTACCCCCAACCACCATCCGGCGACGAAAACGCCCTACCCCCAAACCACCGCTTCTACTTGCTAAAAATTAGCAAATCTCTCCTCCTCAACTTCCTCGAATTTGTTGGCGTGCTTGCGCTATGTCCAGGGCATTTTGAATCCAAAGTTCAGGACATCCGAAATCTATTTATCAATGCCCACCACCTTCTAAATTTGTATCGACCACATCAGGCCCGAGAGTCACTGATCATGATGATGGAGGAGCAACTGGAGAAGACCAAAGAAGAAATACGGGAGATGGATAGGGTCAAAGAGAAAGTCCATGGGTTCCTTGAGAAACTGGAGGCGGAGGGGTCAAATGCAGCTGCTCAACTTACTGGGACTGGGACTAGGTCGGGGCCTTCGAATGTGGCTAAGGCGCATCAGACTACGAATGGAGAAGAGGAAGTGATTGAAGAGGCTAGGTCGGTGTGGAATTTACTTGACGAAATAGATGAAGATTGAAATGCTGTCATCATGGAATTCGAAAGTACGATTATCGAGATTATCGAACTATTCCATGCAGGTTGAGAGAACCCCAGCGCAGAAACCGTGCCATATTTGGGGCCGTTCCATTGTCTCAAGCTAGGAACTACGCATACCATAGTATCTGCGTCCTTCGAGTTTATCGCGGGTATTTGCCTACCGCCACTTAGACAACGTCGAAATTGCGCACCTCTATACTCCCTAGGTCCCCATGGGTGCATTGAATCTGAATTGAAAGCCTGGGGACTCCCTGAGTTCATCATCCTTCTGAGAGGTTTTCCTTTTCGCACGGTTGAGGAGTGCTCAATGCATAAATGAAGCCTGAAGGAGATGAGAAATATTAGTTATGAATGTGAACAGACAACAACCCTTGATATCTCAACAGGAACTTTATTGAAGATACACACATAGATTGATGCACTCCAATGCAGTGTACACTGTACTGCAGTGCTATTGAGCTAGCATTTTTAGTCCAGCAACATAGCCATATAATTTCTCATAGAGGGCGGCAAGCTTGAAACCGTGGTAACGGTACATTTTAGAAACATCTTAGAATAATTTACCCTGGTGTTTAAATACACATACATGCCCCCACTACATCCCCAAGACCCGTAGGAAATTTTAATTTTGATATAACATAATAAAATACTTCTTATCAACGAGCCAAGCCCGAGCTCCGAACGATGACCAAACCACATGTAAATAATTTCCAGTCGATAGGACTCAGCACTAAATCTTCTTCGACGCAGCCTTCAGTGAAAGATCGCATTGGAAGCAGGCTCCCCAGAATCAAAAGAACAGTGTTGACACTCATCTAAGTATCATTGGTGGCAGGGAAAGGTATGCCAGAAGGCTATTTCCGCATTCACGACGGCGATGACAGCGATGACGGCGACAGCTTCGACAAGACGGCAGGACATGGTGTTGACAATGGTGCGGACGAAGACAGAAACGGTGATATTGTGAATGGACAATGCGATAATGAGGATAATTCTTTTCGGAATAGCATTCGGTTCAATCGGGACTTCTGCGGCTTAGACTCTAGAATTGCGGGCTTTGCTGTCCATAGCGGCGACCAGTTACTCGAGCATGGGAAGACGGTATGCGAATGATGCCTTATTCATATATATTTTTGTTTCTGCAGACTTAGAGGCATGCTCATGATGCGTCTTCTACAGGAGATCAGTGGCTGGGCGTGGATGTGGTTCGTACATGCATCAGTTTTTCTCTTTGTATAAAAATCGCGATGTTGAGATCTAATTTTTGTCCATCAAGGCTGGCATATCAGTCCATTGGAGCTATCTACGGTGACATCGGTACCAGTCCGTTATATGTTTTCTCCTCGACATTTCCGACGGCCCCCATATTCGAGGATCTAGTAGGCGTGCTATCCCTAATTATATGGGCGTTGATACTCATTGCGACGATTAAATATGTTGGGGTCGTTTTATGCGCAAACGATAAGGGCGAAGGCGGCTCGTTTGCCCTCTTCTCATTGATCAAGCGTTATGTCAGTCTTTTTTTAGGTGGAAGTATGTGCCCTAGACGGAAACCGGATATCAAACTGACATAAATATCTGCACGTTATTTATCATGATAGGTCGACATCGACAACCAGAACTTCGGCCAGCTTGTAGACAGTGAGGAGATGCGTTTACGGCCGTTCAATTCGAAAGCTATGAGCATATTGAAAAGGAGTTTGGTGGCAAAGAAGGCTGTTAAAATTTTTGCAGTTCTTGGAGTGTGTATGGTGATGTCAGGTAGCTTGTTGACATTCCTTGTTTTCCTCTATCGAGACCGTCAGGCTAATAATATCATTTTGCAGATGGCGTTTTGACTCCCGCACAATCTATCCTCGGTGCTGTTCAAGGTATGTACGTCATGGGACAATTCCTTAGGTGTGTATTGATGATGTTCACTAATTTATTTCCAAAGGAATCAAAATCGCTGCCCCGAATACTGCAACCCATACAGTTGTTGCCATTGCTTGTGTCTTGATTATTTTACTCTTCTGCTTGCAGCCATTCGGTATATCTAAACTCAGCAGTTTCTTCGCACCCGTTGTTATCATATGGTTAATTTTCAACGTCGTCTCAGCCGGATATGTATGTTCCCAACATCTGGGCTGCTGAATATACAAACTAAACTGACTCTCAAAGAACCTCCTCGCCTATGATTATACCGTCCTTCGCGCCTTTTCTCCCTGGTTAGGGATGCACTATCTCCTCCGGAGAAAACTTGAAGGATGGAAATCGCTCGGAGGCGTCCTCCTTTGCTTCACTGGTAATTGCAGCCTCCTTTTCACTTAGAGTCAAGGTACATTGATTAACAATGTAAAGGAGTTGAAGCTCTATTTGCCGACCTAGGCGCATTCTCTGTCAAGTCTGTTCCTGCCCGATTCTAGGAGCCCCATACATATTTACAAAAGATGAGTGCTAAAAAGTTTTCCCCCAGGGCTATACGGGTCTCATGGCTCTGCTTTGCCTTTCCTTGCCTGATCCTTACATATTGCGGGCAAGCGGCCTTCATAAGCAGCCATCCCGACGCCGTCATAAACCCGCTATTCAAATCAGCACCTCCAGGAATGTATTGGCCTATATTTCTGCTGTCGATATTGACTTCGATCGTCGCGTCGCAGGCCATGCTTACTGGGACGTTTCAGCTGATGTCACAGGCAATTCGCATGGGATATCTCCCCAATATCCGAGCGGTACATACCTCGAAACGCATCCCAAGTCAGATTTACATCCCCTGGGCGAACTGGCTCATGATGTTAGCAGCACTTGTCGTCACTGGGGTTTTTAAAACAGTGGGTCGCCTTAGCAACTTGCACAAGTTGCCCATGCACTTTCCCTTTACTAATTGCGCTATTAAAGACCACGAAACTGGGCCATGCTTACGGGACATGTGTCGTCGGGGTCGGTTTTATTACCACCTGGCTCGTCGCACTCGTATCGACGATTATCTGGAACGTCCACGTCGCCATTGTCATGCCGATATTTCTGTTCTTCGTGTCTATTGATGGCCTGTTTGTGTCATCCGCACTGTACAAAGTTCCATCCGGCGGTTGGTTTACGATTGTTGTGGCCGTAATTCTCTCTAGCATCTTGCTCATCTGGAACTACGGCGAGGAATGCCAACTTGAAGCTGATAGAGATGACTCCTCACTATCACGATCAAGAGTTTTTGCCAACGAGAATGGAATGTTATTTATACGTCAGGGAGATAAACATCTCGCGGTCAAGATAATTCGAGGTATTATCATATTCTGCTAAATATTACAACTTGAAGTACTCACCTGACTGACGTCACATTGTTGACTCTAGGAATCGGGATCTTCCTCATTGAGACCAGCTTAAACTCTAACCCTGTCTTCGACCATTTCTTAAGGAAATTCGAAGCCTCCCACGAAATAACAGTCCTCCTTCATATCAACCACATCCCCAAGTACCATGTATGTCCAACTTGCGGCTGTTGAAATTGCCCTCTTCCAAACTCCCAGTAGAATTAACCATTTGCTTTCCTCTAAATAATACAGATTCGACCCGAAGACCGGTTTCTGATTTCCGACACCGGGATCCGCAGTTTATACCGTGTCACTCTCCGTCTAGGTTACGGCGACACCATATTCTGGCACTCATTTGAGAAATCATTAGTCCACGAGCTGGGAATTCTCATATCAAACACTCCCACTTCCACTCCCACTACAACTGGCAGAGACACCTACATCGACCCATCTCAAGACAAACCACTCCGACGCCCATCTCTTTCTCTCCCCGACGCCTCTTCATCCGGCGACATTCCCATGTCGACCATATTATCCCACACTAAGCACCATAACCATCAACATCAACATCACCAAATCACCCCTGCCGACCTAGAATCCATAGCTGAAAAGCCCATGACCTACATAATTGGTAGAGACAAACTCTATATCAAGGAGGAATCGAATTTCGTACGCCGCGCAATGCTGGCGGTGTTTGTTGCTGTGAAGAATCAGCAACGGACAAAGCTGTCGCGGCTCAAGGTTCCTGTTGATAGGCTAGTGGAGATTGGATTTTCAAAGGCAATTTAACTACGGCGTTTCCTGTGAGGTAATGTAGAATTATATTTATATTTGTTATTTATATAACCTTTAGGGGAAAGATTGTGATTTATTCGCATCTGATCTGGGTTTTGTTTGTAATTTTAATCTACGTATTTCCTGTTCCCTTTCTATTTTTCTCCATTTAGATTTTGTAGAAGATTATACCTGTTTATTATATTACATACGTAGGTGGACTTTAAATTCTTCATGTCCTTTATTTCTTTTCAGTCTATTTCTTGGGATTTGGGACCGCGTAAATATGCTTTTCTCATAACTAGTTGATGGATGAATTACCCTATCTGCCAACAGATCCCATAACAAAGGGTCTGCCACATATATTCTCTTCAATCCTTAAAAAAGTTCTAGGTAACTATTACTATGTATCCTACTACCCAATTGTTACACTGAAATCTTTCTCCTGCAATGAGGGGTTTTTCTGCACAAGAAGATGAAACAACCAGTCAATCAGTTCTCCAGCATTCTTCAATACAATGACATCTCAGATCACATATCAAATGCAAATAAATCGAAACACAGGCTCTACCAACCCGAGTCCCAAGAGCAGGAAGTCCATCTGGTACATGAGGGTGGCCGCTCTTGGGCAGTGTGGGCAATTCAACGGGCACCATTTGCAAGGTCAAATCCCGGCGTCGTGGGATGGAGCTTGAGTCTGAGGCAATCACTTTTATCAGGGAACACGTACCCAGATCCCGGTACCGGCAGTGTCATTATATTCCGGGATTGAGAAAGATCGGACATTCCTGATGCATGGTCGTCATTTTCTTCCTTGCAAAGATTGCAAGAATATGTGACCTTCTTGCTTTGAAGACTTCAACAAGACTTCAGAGTGTATCTGAAAGCGTAACCATTAAATATTATTCTGGCGCACTATTATCTACCTTCATCCCTTCCAGTCACCTAATAGGACTGAACTTAGGTGGCAGCAAAAAAGCCTTGTCGAGCACAGTCTCAGCAATAGAAACCATAACCTCTTGCAGGTTGTAAGTCTCTCTTAAGTCAGGGTACTATATATGGATGAATTGTCGTGCCTCAGGCGCTGACACACGACAATGAATAATGCCTAGTTTATGAAGGAAGTCGAGTCCCAACAAGAGCTGTTTGGAAATAGCTCGTACGTAGGTTGCCTGGCGCAGCTTCCCGGTGGCAGTCACCCATCGGATATCATTGCAGGAAAGACAAGACACAAGTGTGTCCCATATGGGCCATCGTGCTCAAAACAATTCTGCAGTTCTATAACATATCCTTTGCCAGGATGATGATCTAGGCCCGGAACAGACAATTTAAGAAGCATAGCAAGCTCTTTAGTGTTTCTGGAAGCATCTGCTTTCAGTATCTTCAATGCGACGTGTCGCTGGAGCCTTAAGTGCGGTAGTTAGTTGCCATCGGCCAAATGCCAACTTTCCAATAACCTCGTACCTCTGGTTGAATACGTCGCGGAGGTGTTCTGGATGATAGCCTCCCTAGCGATACTCCTCAACCGGTTCAACGACGTCGTAGATTCTCTCGAAATGCCAGATTTTGAATACACCGGCAGCATTGATGTCGAGAAAGCCCACAAAACTTGCACAATGTCAGCCCAGCAAGAGTCTAATTTCGCAAACTTGGTAGTTTGGCGACATTATTGCCAAGATAATGGCAGAGAGGCCCATTTATATTCCCAACATGCTCAATATCAGGAGGAGTTGGATGTTGGATTGAATGGAGGTTAAAGATATTATAAATAATGTTGATGGAGCTAACATCACGTGAGGTACGATCTAGGCCAAGACGTTAAAACTTTCCCGGAGCCGATTTATCCGGTTATCGCTCTTGGCGCTGAATCAGCAGAAAACGATTGGCTGTGAGAAATCCAACAAAGAGAAAGATGATTGAAGGGATGAATCATGAGGATGAGGATGTGGATGAGGATGAGGATGGGAATAAAGATGAGATAAGGATGAGGATGAATGTATCTTTCTGCTGGAACCCGCCGTAAGAAGTGGAAAGGATTCTCAGCTGCCTAGACAAACATTGAAGGCTGAACTACGGAGTAATAACTAGATGAGGAGGGGCAAAAGGATAATCTGGCCACATGTCGATTTCGAGTGTTTATACAAATAACGGTCCAAACTTCCCGAGAAAGGCTTATCCGTAATCAGTTCCCCAATCAGTGTTCAGCTGAAGAGGGCTGGAGAAATAGTTAATTATCTACAGACCATAATTCGTAATCTCATAGAGGGCCTTGCCTCAGATGTCAGACGTTTGCTCCAGTAGCAAACGAGACTCTGATATAGGCGCTTAAGCGCTGACATTGTTGAACGAATCCTGGCCCTGTAGGAGCCCCGAAAAGGACACAATTGTAGCCAACTGCAACTAATTCCGCCCTCAATCCCTTCAGCTAGTAAGGCGTAAAATAATTAGTCAGCTGGTTGAGTATCGCCGGCTGCGGGCTAGATTGGACCTAAGGGGTGCCGGTATCCTGGGCGCAGTTAAATTAAATATAACGAGTTAGAGTAACTAGTTAACTAACTAACTAGGGGGGAAAAATTACTTAAGTTCTTGCTTGAGGTTGCTGGGGAGAGGATTTTCTCACTGGGTTCTCGCACTTTAACCTGGTACCAGTGATTTTTAACTAGCATTATTCCTATTTTTATTAGTTAGCTAGCTGTCAGCTCTGTTCATTCATCAAATATATTGGCATTTCGTCAACTTATTCCATTTTCCGCTTTTCTCTCTCTTACCACACCCTAAGCCACTTCCCGTCACTCATTTACTGACCGCATCTCACCATCGCGCATCCCATCACCTCTAACCACCCAACCCCGCCCACAACAATCCTCCAAAATCTAAGCCGCCATGTCGGGCTCCAAAGAATTCACCATCAGAGAGGTGTCCGAACACAATACAAAGAAAGATCTCTATGTCACCATCCACGACAAGGTTTACAACGTCTCCACCTTCGTCGATGAGCATCCGTACGTCTTCTTCTGATACCTCGAACGGCACATGCAATTGCCATACCCGTTCCCCCTTTCGCAACCCCCTCGTCCCCATATCCCTGTTGAGAGAGAGAGAAAAAAGTCCATAATAACCAACTCATCCCTATCACAGTGGTGGCGAAGAAGTCCTCCTCGATGTCGGCGGCCAAGATGCTACTGAAGCCTTCGAAGATGTAGGCCACAGCGACGAGGCTCGTGAGATTCTGCAGGGCATGCTAGTCGGATCGCTGAAGAGATTAGTATGTTCTGACAAACAAAAAATTTCTCTTTTCTCCTTTTTAGCTTCCAATATCATATCCATCTACAATATCCCCCTACGAAGACTTTTCGCATATTCACCAACGAAAACGAAACAGAAAGGCTAACTTTAACTACAGCCTGGAGATCCAGCTGCCAAACCACAATCTCAACCCACTTTTTCCTCCAGCACCAGTTCGTCAGGTAGCACCGGCTTCGGCATCGGCGTGTATGCCATCCTCATCCTCCTGGGCGCCATTGGTTACAGCGCATTCCAATACTTGCAAGAGAATGGTGCCGTGAAGGCATAGAGTGACATGTGTTTCCTTGTTGGGTTTGATTTTGTTCATGTTCGGAAGATAAGGGATGAATGGTTTTGTTCAGGGTTTATTAGTTTGAATTACACAACAAAGGAAGGTATGGGAGGAAATGGAGTGAAAGAGCAAAAAATAAAATAAAATAAAACAGGAAATATATACTGGCAAAAATGTGAAAGAAAAAGAGAAGAAGAAAAAAGGTTCTTACATTGTCATATGTGTATTTTTTTTTGGGACTATCTTCTATTTTATGCCCTCCCTGTTCTGTTAAGACTACGTCTTCCGTTCTACTTTTCTCTTTCTTACTATTTTCTCCCCCCTATCCCTTTCTTATAAATAAACCCACCTTTTTTTATACCTTTGCTCCTTTGCTACGTTTTTGGTGTCCTGCTTGTCTTCTCGTCTATTTAATTCCATCATTGTTTTCTATCCTTAAAATGTAGATAACTAATTCCTCTTTTCCCTACATACGTACCCTATCATGCATCCGCCATTGTTTTTTTGTTTTCTAATTGGGGAAGCAAAAGGCGCCAAAGAGGGCGTAGTGTGAAATTCCTTGTCTATACTACTTTGTTGCAGATATGCCCATTTTAATGGGATTTAAATTGAATGAGAGGTGGGATAAATCAATAATAACATGTGCTTTGGAGTTGAATATTTTAATTGTTCAAGCTATTCTTCCTCTTGACTAAAAAAATTTGTTATGATTTGCGTTTTGCATTTCGAGTCATTCCAATTGGTTCGCTCCATTTTATTTTAGATTGAAGCTATTTTTCAAGGGGTTTTCTCTGGCCCTTCACGCCCCGAAAAGTAACTTCTGAGGAAGATCCATAAATCCCATTCATGATCCTATTGTAACAGAGAAGCTCAATGCCACATGCCGTGTCATTACACGCAGCTGCATGTAGGCAACCAACAGCGGAACTCGAAGATAAACTGGTCTGACCTTGTAGAATGAAGAATCATCGACTTCTTGCTAGCCTTCATCCAAATATATACATACTATCACTCCACCGCCACCTGGAGCATGGAGATGAGATGAAATGAAATTCATCTTAAAGCGAATTTGTGTTTCTTACCGGCTATACGATATGTGGTAAATATGCAGTGTACTTAGATATGTCGTTTGGGGAGGGGTTTCGCTTGTAAAGCACAGTTATTTAGCGGTGACTTGGCGGATCAGCTGTGACCTCATCTTCATCTTCAACTTCAGCGTCAACTTCACCACCACATCATGCCACCTTCAGAATAAATACATCACCACAACTTCCTCCTGGGTCGAAATTGATAGGGTTATCGAGGAGATCACATACATGACAACCCAACAGAACCAAATCCTCTCAACCTGTCCCGCAAACAGGCCGCACGCAGAGTCGCGATCCCGGACAACAGATAACTTCTACTGACACGCTACATACCTCCGATTCTCCGCACTATTCCTCCTTTTTTCCATCCTCCTCTCCCCAGCCCAACCCGCACGACATATCATGTCCCGTAACCGCGTCAAAAACATCGCCTACGACAACGATGACTGTGCCTCTGATGACTACGACTACGATGATTACAGCACGGCCACGGGCACAGGCCCAGGCCACAATGACATGACCCCCGAAGATCGCGAAGAGATGCGCCAGTGCACGGTTCTTGTGCATGAACTGCTGGATGCAGACACACCTCCCGTCCCTGCGTCCGATGAGGAGATTTGGGAGGCGCTTTGGTATTATTATTTTGATATTGAGAAGGCGGTTGGGTGGTTGAGAAGTATATATTTCCTTTTTCCCTTTTTCCTATTCTTTTCCTTTTTTGAGTTTCTTTCTCGCGCTTACTGATGGGTTGTTACAGAGAAATATACACCAAAGACACCGAAGGCTAAAGCGAAAGCGAAGGGTGAGTCGAATTCTTTCGTATGAAGCGATTTCCCTTCTTTCCCCGTGTGAGAATCTACATTCCTATCATAATGCGTGAGGGTGAGGTGTGTATTTTGAGGCTGTCGGAGGCCTGGGTGGCTAGGATGCTAGTTATATGGGATGAAGGACGTTGATCCCGCAGCTATCACAAGCAAATGGTGTGTTCTCCTAATCACCCTCTCCTTCGTGCTGTCCATATTTTTTCCGCTCCCAACCAACTGATGCAAGATGGCAAACAGTGTATTTTGTTTTCTCAAAAGATGAAGAACAAGCAGAAAGAGATCAAAAACAAAAGTTTCGTATCTAATTCGCGCTTCTCCAGGAACCCATCTATCTCCATCTTCATCTCCATATCTAATTCCGGAATGTCCGCAGCCTTTCTCCGCCGCAGATTTTTTCAAGGATTCTCCTTGGCTGAATATTCCTCCCCAGTGCAAAGCTGATATTCTAATCCAACCTCTCTATCCTCCATTGGGGCTGTTGGGCGGTGCACCGGAGGCATCGGGGAAGGTGTCTAAACTTGCTGCGCTGGCTGCGCGGAAAAGAAAAGACAATGAACGTAAGGTTGCGAGTGGAGCTGACAGTGGCAGCGGAACTGCCAGTGAGGCGTGTTCACTCTCATCGGATGACCAGCGGAGTGCTCCTATGTCGCTACTAGAGAGGCTCGGGGTGAATGGGAAATCTCAGGGAACTGCGGCGGTGCCAGCTAGGCCGATACGTCTCCCATTGCGGAGTGGGAAGAGTCCACTATTAAACAATAAATCCAAGCAGTCAGTTTCGCCACTCAGTCCTTTTGCCACGACAGAACAACCACCTATAAACTGCACAGCTGAGCCCATGATTGAAAAGAGGAAAGCGGCAGCGATTTCCATAGAGACGACAGAAGGCCGTCCTTCAAAGTTACCTGACCTACGCGCGGAACCCTCAGCGTTTGCTATGGTCCTTATTGGAACGCGAGGGATTGGAGTTGGAGTTGGAGATGATCATAGAGCCTCACCACCGCCCAAACCTATCACACATAACATTGACGTCATGAAGTTTTTTGGTCAAGATCTTACTGAAGCGTTTGACTTTGCAGAGCCCAGTCCGGATGATATTGTCATCAATGCAAGAGAGTCTGCTAAAGGTTTGTCTGCTGTTCATCATCGAGCAATGTCAAGTGATATTAAAATTTCAAAATATGATGTGTTTTAACCGTTGGTGTCTTTTGCCATTGTTTTGTGGTCTTTACAGGTGCTAAAGCGAAACGAACTGCAGCTGCAGCAGCGAAGGGGACGGGTGCTGCGCCGAGTAAAATCCTTCCGGCTGACGTGACAGACGGCGTTAAGCAGTTATCTGTCCAAGAGACCGTGAAGGTTAAGAGCAAGAATTTGGATGTGTTGGCGGAGTATCGCAAGGCTGAGAGAAAGAAGGCGGCGAACTTTGTCGTTATCGGTATGAAAGTTTGAAAATGGGTGTTTCTGGTCGGGGTTTCTCTAACTTCATTTCTTTGTACAGGCCATGTTGATGCTGGAAAAAGTACGTTAATGGGACGGTTACTATACGAACTTAAAGCCGTTGATCAACGAACCATCGACAAATATCGAAGGGATGCCGATAAGATCGGTAAGGGCTCATTCGCGCTTGCATGGGTACTTGACCAGGGTTCCGAAGAACGTGCGCGCGGTGTAACAATCGACATTGCCACCAACCAATTCACGACGGAAAATACCAACTTCACTATTTTAGACGCACCAGGTCATCGTGACTTCGTCCCCAACATGATCGCTGGAGCTAGCCAAGCCGACTTTGCCGTGTTGGTTCTTGATGCAACGACGGGAAACTTCGAATCCGGGCTTAGAGGACAGACGAAGGAGCATGCTTTACTAGTTCGAAGCATGGGTGTTCAGAAGATAGTTGTGGCTGTTAACAAGATGGATGCAGCAGACTGGTCCCAGTCCCGCTTTGAGGAGATAGAGCAGCAAATCTCCTCGTTCTTAATGACGGCGGGATTTCAGTCAAAGAATATTTCATTTATCCCCTGCTCGGGGCTGCGGGGTGATAATGTTGTGACGCGGCCAGATGATAAGAACGCTGCGTGGTATACGGGGAAGACACTGGTGGAGGAGCTGGATACGTCGGAACCATACACATATGCGCTCGACAAGCCGCTGCGAATGACGATAGCAGATGTCTTCCGCGGCGGTGTGCTGAATCCGCTCTCGATATCTGGCCGGTTGGATTCTGGGCACTTTCAGGTGGGCGATCAACTGGTTACCATGCCCAGTGGAGAACTATGTACCATCAAGGGCGTGGAGGTTGATCGGGAACCGAGCGATTGGGCTGTAGCAGGCCAGAATGTAATATTACACCTGACAGACATTGACAGCGCGCATGTGCGCAGCGGAGATGTACTCTGCAGTCCTACCAGCCCGGTGAAGAACATCACGTCTTTTACAGCGAAGGTGCTCGCGTTTGATCATCTGACGCCCATGCATATTGATGTGCATCGGGGGCGGTTGCATGTCCCCGGGCGCATAAGTCGGCTTGTGGCTTTGTTGGATAAGGGGAGTGGGGTTGCGGTGCGCAAGAAACCGAAGATCGTGGGGCCGGGGAATGTGGCGAGGATTGTTGTTGAGATGGAGCGGGCAATTCCGTTGGAGGCGCCGGGTAGGGTTGTGTTGAGGGCTGGTGGAGAGACGGTTGCGGCGGGGTTGTTGGAGGGGTGATTATGATAAAAGGTAATGGATTTTCGGGGATTGGGTTGTTTGCTTTTACATGACATTTTATATACTCTGTATCTAGGGTTTATATATGAATTGGGTGATGAATGATAGAGGTGGGTTATTAGGATGGGATATGGGAAATATGTATATACATATAAATTTTATTTTCGAGATTACGGAATGGGAATCTATTTGAGATCTCGGGTTGAGGTCATGGATATGGTATGGATATGAATCTTGGCCCAGATGCCAAAACACAAGCTTAACACAAAGCATGGCTAGCTTACGATCAACCAAAGAATAACGAGATGACAAGTTGGCCAGCGTGTCCAGTCCATTGCAGCCACGGTGTCAACTTAACTAGTTCAAGTAGTTCTGTCCGAGGTCAGTGTAGTGTCGCAGCGCCTCATTGACTAGTTAACACCAGAAAGAATTACTCCGGCTAGTATCTACCAATCTAACTATTCGTTGTCAAATTTTCGATGTTCATATCGATGCAGACTACATAGGTATTGCTTGTTTTCACCCGTTGACTTGCTGTCCTACCGTGCTTCACCACTCCCATGGTGCCTTATCCTAACAAAGCAAGCCACGCAGAGAAGTAAGCTTTGTTTCCATATAATGTATTATTTATCAGACATGCAAATGCCATTTCAAAACGTATTAAATATGCTGTTCATGTCTCAGGCGCAAGAGTATATATATATATAGGATTTCATCAAGGGAAGTATTTGAGGCAACTTGGTTGACGCAAGATGCCCCTCCAGCCAGCGACCCTCAATGCGAGTCGGGAAAGAAAGGGGCGAGATCGCTCTACGCACGCCACAAGAGACATATAATGAATGGTTCTGTAGTTTCATCTAACGCTCGAAGGTTCCGGGGGGGGGGGGGGATCCTGACTTATCCGTCGAGCTCCCCGTCTGCACATGCGCAGGGAACGAGCTTTGGAGAATCATTCTAGAGCTTGTAGGCTCAAGTCTCAACATCATCGAGGAAGCTAGAAGCTGTCTGGCCGTCTCCAACATGAAGTGTGACCGCGCCGATCTACTCGTGGGCCTGCTGCTCCCTGGCCCCGCGGTGGCACTGGTGGTGGGAGATGGACCATCGAACGCCATTTGGCAACACAACCGGCATCTTCGGGTATGAGATGGGAGAGCGTTCAATTGCGGCACTATTAGTTACCCGTTGAAACGATGAGGAGCGCAGAAGGATACCAGGGGGAGGGAGCCCATCGAGTTTCAGCCAAAGATCGCAGTTGGGGCTGGAGGTTTTCTCCCGGGTCACGTGAAATAACAAGGAGAGCTTAGTCCATTCCAGGTTAGCTTGGTGAGGAAAAATCCAGAAACCTCCAGCAACACGCTGAGTCATGCTCCGCAGCCAATCAGAGCCTGCAGAATAACCTTAAATGCTCGCTGGCAGCCAATTGCCACCCGCGACGAGCTTTGGAGAGTGACACTAGCCCCTATTAGGCATAGCGTGTGTTGGCTCCAAGCAAGGGCCACCTTCGAAAAGGCCAACTGTTCAACTGCGGCAGGAACGAGGCCAGTGGGAAAGAAAGGCGCCAGATGTTCCTTCTCTGCTTAGTTAACTATAACATGAATATATAACGAGCTTCAACCTTCGAACTTCTTTTAATATCCTCACCTTCAACTTCTTCCTCACTCCTCCTCCTCCTCCCTCTTCTTCTTCTTCTTCTTCTTCTTCTTCTTCTTCTTCTTCTTCTTTATAATATTGCCACTCCACTTCCCCTCTATATGTCTCCCCGATATCTCTGCTGACGACCTAGCTAGAGCAGCAGGAGGAAACATACAATCATTCATTTTCATTGCAATTAGATACCCTAGTTTTCGTCCTTCTTTCTCCTATTGCCACAAGTTGAAATAGACGGAATAGGAGAGTCCTAGAGTCTTAATATCCTCCTCTTGACAGCGGTTTCTCTTGAAAACAAACCAGCTGAGATCATCTTCCCTGTCGGCCCATACGTTATACACACACATACACCATGTCTCGAATGTCGAGGCGGGATGCCTCGTCCTCGCCCTTCGCTTGGACAACTGTACTCTACCTCCTTCTCGTCTTCATTGCCCCCCTGGCTCTGCTGGGAACTGCACATGCAGAGGGCGATCAAGCTCCGTTGAAAGAGGATTATGGAACCGGTATGTTTTTTCATTCAAGAAAATTCCTGAACTGCGTGCAATTAAAGAGGAACGATGAATAGAGATTAGTTTACTGACTTTGTTCCTTTTTGTAATCTCACTACAGTAATTGGTATCGATTTGGGAACTACATATTCTTGCGTCGGAGCGATGCAAAATGGTAAAGTGGAGATCTTCGTGAATGACCAGGGAAACAGAATCACTCCGTCATACGTGGCCTTTACCGATGATGAGAGGTTGGTTGGTGACGCGGCGAAGAACCAGTATGCTGCGAATCCTCAAAGGACGATTTTTGATATCAAGTATGTGCACATGTCCGCTACTCGCTCACAATCTTATTTTAGCAATTTGTTCACTGACCGTTGTTGTCCCTCCCATTTTATAGACGTTTGATCGGCAGGAAATTTGACGACCAAGATGCCCAAAAGGACATAAAGCATTTCCCCTTCCGAGTTGTCAACAAAGATGGCAAACCCCAGGTTAAGGTAGAGGTTAACGGCAAGGACAAGACCTTCACCCCAGAGGAAGTCTCCGCCATGATCCTGGGCAAAATGAAAGAGGTCGCTGAGAACTACCTCGGAAAGACCGTCACTAACGCCGTCGTTACTGTTCCCGCCTACTTCAACGATAACCAGAGACAGGCTACCAAGGATGCCGGCACCATTGCTGGCCTCAATGTTCTCCGTGTCGTCAACGAACCCACCGCCGCCGCTATCGCATACGGTCTGGACAAGACCGGGGACGAGCGCCAGATCATTGTCTATGATCTCGGTGGAGGTACCTTTGACGTTTCCCTTCTGTCCATCGACAACGGCGCCTTCGAGGTCCTGGCTACAGCCGGGGACACCCACTTGGGAGGTGAAGATTTCGACCAACGTGTCATCAGCCACTTCGTCAAGCAGTACAACAAGAAACACAACGTTGATATTACCAAGGATCTCAAGACCATGGGCAAACTGAAGCGCGAAGTTGAGAAGGCCAAGCGCACTTTGTCCTCCCAGATGTCCACCCGCATTGAAATTGAAGCCTTCCATGATGGCAAGGACTTCTCAGAGACCCTGACCCGTGCCAAATTTGAAGAATTGAACATGGATCTGTTCAAGAAGACCCTCCGACCTGTCGAGCAAGTGCTCAAGGACGCCAAAGTCAAGAAGTCTGAGATCCACGATATCGTTCTCGTTGGTGGCTCAACCCGTATCCCCAAGGTCCAGGCTCTCCTCGAGGAGTTCTTTGGTGGCAAGAAGGCCAGCAAGGGTATCAACCCGGATGAAGCTGTTGCCTTTGGCGCTGCTATTCAGGGTGGTGTTCTCTCTGGAGACGAAGGGGCCTCCGAGATCGTCCTCATGGACGTTAACCCATTGACTCTCGGCATCGAAACCACCGGTGGCATCATGACCAAGCTAATTCCCCGCAACACCGTCATCCCAACCCGCAAGTCTCAGATCTTCTCAACCGCCGCTGATAACCAGCCTGTAGTCCTTATCCAAGTGTGTACGTGATAATCCACCCCCTTCCAATCTAATCCCCTATCTTCCCATAGGAAAACCCCTAGGAAACCCACTAACAATTACCAGATGAGGGTGAACGTCCATTGACCAAAGACAACAACCTTCTCGGCAAATTCGAGTTGACTGGCATCCCACCCGCTCCCCGCGGCGTTCCCCAAATTGAAGTCTCTTTTGAACTTGATGCCAACGGCATCCTCAAGGTAACCGCGGGTGACAAGGGCACTGGCAAAGCGGAGTCTATCACCATCACTAACGACAAGGGCCGCTTGTCGCAAGAAGAGATTGACCGTATGGTCGCTGAGGCGGCTGAATTTGCTGAGGAGGATAAGGCGATGAAAGCGAAGATTGACGCACGAAATACGCTGGAGAATTATGCCTTCAGCCTTAAGAATCAGGTGCAGGATGAGGAGGGACTTGGTGGGAAGATTGATAAAGATGATAAGGAGACGGTATGTTTTATTACCCCATTTAAAGACTCGGCCGTCCTTCATAAATATCAACTGAATTTTTGACTAACGTATCTTGCTTTGTGGTATAGATCTTGGAAGCTGTAAAGGAAACCACTGACTGGCTTGAGGAGAACGCCGCGAAAGCCACGACGGAGGACTTCGAGGAGCAGAAGGAGAAACTGTCCAACGTTGCCTATCCGATTACTAGCAAGTTGTACAGCGGTGGTGCAGGTGGGGCACCTGGTGGTGATGACGATGAACCCAGCGGACATGATGAACTGTAAAACGTTTTTCTAAAACATAAAGGATGTAGGCATATGGAGTTAGAACTCTTTGATTTTTTTTTTTTTTCTTTTTCCCCTTTTTTATTTACTTTCTCTTTCCCTTTTGTGGTGAAATTGTGTACATGTGAGCGATGAAAGGGGAGGGAAGGGATAGAAATAAAAACATGTATTTTTTATTCATTGAGCTCTTGATTGAGAAATATGCACACCAATCAGGATGGTCTCTTTTCTGTAATTTGATCCCATCACCTACCTATAAAAGCGTAGCAGATTTTTTCATTACGCTCTAAAAGGTGCTTTAAAGACCTTTTTTGACTCATTTTAGCGTACTTAATAGATATACTCTGGTTGATAGTGTATCAAATATTTAGTAATTCAATCAGCTCATAATCTTTCACACTCTCTCATCTCTTGCCCGAATCTCTCTTCTGAAATACAAATACAAATGTGTGCTACCTTTGCAGCAGCCCCACAGATGATATACCACAGTGGGTATCGCTGCTCTATAACCACTGCAGCAAGACTCTGCATTCTCACAGATAATAACCTCGAAAAAGCAAAAACGCAGAGAGGAGTTCTGTATGGGGATCTGGGAATCAAAACTCCTCAATTATGACATGCTCTGGCAAAGTTTGTTGGCCATGAGATGGGGTAAAATGGAAAGTGAGCTTAAGGAAAGAGGTGGCAGTAGTGGTATCGACGAAGCAATGAGGGAATCGTAAAATGACGTTAGAGACACCCTTCAGTATACATGGGATATGGGTAGTTAAGATGAAGAGGGCGTTGATCAATTTGGCTTTGAACCTCAAAGGTTGAATTGACCAAGGAAGCCCAAAGAAAGAGTGGCATAGAATACGGGTGGCCCAGGTTCTTAATCCGCATATCAAAACAGGTCTGGGAATCACACAAACTGGAATACAAACCAGGAAGAAAAAAGAGTAAAAAAATTACAAAAATATGACAATGCAATCTCATTCATTTCTCCTATCCTACCTTTCCCAATTCACACACACACACACAAAGCGAGAAGGCAAGCAAGAAAAAATATGAAACAAAATCGCGAATGAAGAATCATGTCTAGCTCGTTAGAACTCGCTCATAAAACACCAGATACGCCTGATCATTCTGCAGGCCATCAGCCGGTCTTAATCCCACAGGATTGAAATCAGTTACTCGCTGATCGTCAAACTTACGCCAGCATCCACGTCGGTCGTCTCTAACAAGGGACACATAGTGTCCTTCGGTGCTTGAAGAGCCGATATGGCGGACAATGCCATAGGCGTTATAGATGTAGGGAGGGGTAGTTGAAAAAGCTGAGTTCGACATATTAGTACTCGTGGTCTCATCAGCGTTGCTATCGGGGGATGGAGAGCGGTCCGGCCGCACCATAAAGGGAGTGAGATCTAGGCCGGTGATGGGGAAGCTGATTGGGGTGTTTATTTTGCGTGTTTGCTGGAAGCGGGAGAGGGAGAAGCGTTTGAAGTGAATGACGAGGAGGCGCGGGGCACGTGTGAGGATGATTTGTTTCGTGGCTTCGCGTTCGCGACGGCAGTAGGGGCATTTCCAGACCTCGTCGCCGCTCAGCATTTCCTCCTGACAGTAGCTGGTGAAGCAGTTGTACAGGTCACCTCTACCGGATTTGGGGGATGAGGGAATCTCTACGCTGATGCTGAAAAAGGCTTCGTAGGTGGTTGAGGTGCGACTGCAGGTTTTACAACGCAGTCTGCTGGCGTGTTGGCCGGCGAATAGTGAGGAAATGTATGAGTATTCGCGGTGGCAGTAGCGGTTCCATTCGATTGTGGAAACTTGTTCGATTGGCATTTGTTCGCGACGCAGTTCTTGTTCAGTCGTCAGCGGGCGGAGCGGTGTTCGGTCCCAGTTTATATTCAGGTCTTCATGGAGGCAGTCGAGAAGTACGTCAAAGAATTCTTTCGCATCCTGCTGTCTGCTACCGGCCCATTCAGGGTTTAATCGCCCGATAAAATTCCGAAACGAGGTCGGGCGGATGACCTCAACATCGTTTTTCCATAATGATCGTACGAGGTTCGCGAATAGGCCGGGCAGAATGCCCTGTGAACCTTTCCAGTTTTTCTGGACTTGAGTATGGTACCGGTTGTCAATGAAGAACTTGGTTAGCTGAGTAGTGGCGCTCAAGCACTGGATTATGGAGTTCATATAACACGTCGATCCCATATTGACGAGGCCGGTGCGTGGTAGTTTCATGCGGTCAATTGGTGAACTAGCAGCGTACAGCGCAGTTTTGGACGCCGATGATTGACGGGCCAGAGGAAGTTGAACATTTCTGCCCTCAGAGACACCACTGTAGATAGGTCGAGGAACCGCTGGAGTTGGACGAGAAAGAGACAGAGGTAGTGGTAGAGTGTCAGTTAAGGGAACTTCGGAGATACTTCCAGGCACTATGCCCATCATAGACTGCCGTATATCATGAGGTTCAGGGAATCTTCTGAAGAAATCATCATAATCATGTACGAAGGGACTATGCGGCTTTTGTTCGTCAATGTTTTCAGGTTCCTCAGTGATAGTCCCATCCTCCGTGGTATAGGTGGAGGGGTCGATCTCCTCATTTTTGGCTTTCTCAAGCCATACTCGCTCTTCCTCGGAATTGAGTGGTGTATAGTCTCGCAATCTGCGTTTCCTCACCTCCCAGCTGGAATTGGCACTTGCAGTAGGGGCGCGTCTTAGGGGTCGAGGAGCGGCCTGGGATCGACCACGAGCGTGGATTGAACTCATGACAGCTGCAGTTTGAGAAGTGGCTAATGAGTGAGGCCCAAGCAGATCGACCCATGCGTCGAGGCCGCCAATTAAAAGAGCTGGTTGTCGGCCCTCTTTAAGTGGTTTATACACATTGAATTCGTACAAGGTGTCATATAAGGCCCTTAGATGTGGTCTGCTGCTCCCCGCAGGAGAACCAACAAGGTAAGACGCTTCCCGTGTGTTTTGATCGTAGTACACAACCAAGTCAAACTCGTTACGTCTGCTGAAAAGGGATTGTTCTCCGTCCGGAGACAGAATAAGTCGATCTTCGAGTTCTTCGGCGGACACATTCTCTTTAAGCGCAACTGGCTCTATACAGAGAATGGACTTGGAGTATATGTGGCCACCGTCAAAGCGGTCGCGGGGACGGACATCGACGAGTAGTATTTCGTATTTCTGGAGATATTCATATAGCTTTTCTGGTTGTATGGTGGGTTGTGATGGAATGTCGACGGAGCGGCTTGGTGCATCTGCCTTGTAGTACGCGCCATTTGGAGTCTGAGACCGACTTAAATTACCTGCGTTGACAAATACACTGGGTTTGCCGTTGGGTCCATTCAAAGCTGACACGGGAAAAGACGAAGCAGTGCGGCCATTATCAGTTGCAGTCCTGGGCGGGTTTGGAGGAGGTTGTGAAAGAACTGTCCAGGCTGGGCTGTAGGCCGGACTTGGGACGCGGGGGAGTGAAGTATCTGGTGGATTCAAGGGAGCTTTTGGTGGAATGGTAGGGACCCCTTGAGATGGGTTCATCTCACGGGGACCAAGAGGCCTCGAGTTTGGGTGGCTTAGCGTTGTCATGCTGTTGCTTCGCGATCCTGGGCGTTCCACAGGAGAAGATGTGGAAGACGTGGTGAGAGGGTCACCGTTCTGTTCAGAAGACATTGAGTTTCGATTTTGACGCGACTTTCTCAATTCCGCAAATCTTTGGGCAAGAGGATCTGTAACACTTGACGTCGAACCAACTGGTTTTCGAGAAGGAATCTCTGATTTAGATCTGGGGTCGGGCTTTTGCTGACCTATGGACAGACTTGGTGGCATAAGGGAGTTGGGTGGCTTCGCTTGGAAACTGGTGGGACTGGACATGCGAAGTGTTGGTCCGTTTGGCGTTTGTGTGTGGTAGTAAGCTGTGGGAGATGAGCTATCAATGGTTTCCGGGTCTATGGGAGGTGTATGACATTGTGTTCTCGGCAGTGATGAGGTGGTTTGTTGATTGTTATTGTTTAGGGATTTTTTGTCTTGATCAATTTTCTGCTTCACGCTCACCATTGCCTCATCTTGTGATCGGACAGACTACAAACATCAGCATCTATTTTGCAGACACTGGCATCCCAGACTCCTCATGCCCTCTTTGAACTTACAGCCATTAGCTTTATAAAGCGGTCATTCCACCCAGGATGTTGTCTCTTCATGTATTCATAATCTGGATGTTTTGGAATGGTGTTGACGGTGATCTCTGAAGCGCGAAGATAATTATTGAAAGCCACAACTAGCTGGCCTTTCCCAAGAGATATCCTTGAACTCTGGATGCAATTTTCTGATATACGGAGGAGTTCATTCAGCTGGATGATCGGATTGTCAGCCGCAGGTTCATCCGGATAGATCTCCCACTTCATTACCCAACCGCCATTCCATTAGGCACAACTTACAGATGCCCCTTCATCAATATTTAAAGACGCAGCCATATTACCAAATCCATAAGCAGGTTCCGAGCCAGGGTAAGGACCCTCGTTACTTCGATAGGGAAGCTCCCCGTGGAAATTGTCCTGTCCCCACATGATGCTGGTGCTTCGGGGAACGGTTGAGAGTGTTTCCTAGCCAGTTCCCGGAGCATGGGAGGCCACACGGCATTAGATATATTACAGTATCCGCCTATAACTACAGCAGAGTCGCATTCTCGGGAAGGTTGACGTTTAGGGAGATTGGACAGCGGTGGACTGTGCAAAAACGGTTCGTGGTGAGAGACGCCCGCAGCAACTGGGAAGAATTCCCTTTCTCCAAAAGTGAGAGAGTCAGAGAGAGTCAGAGCAGAGTCAGAGCAGAGGGAGAGCAGAGGCAGAGCAGAGGCAGAAGAGGCGCAAAGCGACGGGGGGATAGCGATCGGAATGGGCTAAACGACTGTAGTTAAAATCTGTTTGATGGGAATGTAAAGGTATCCAGACATATAGCGAGGCCTTGTTGAATGGGTTCTTGTCAGATGCAGACAAACATGTACATACCTACCTTTAGAAAAAGATCTTGGGAGGGAAGCAGGAGGTAATTTATAGCGTTTTGGCTGGACTCTGACCATACGGTGACAAAACGGTTACATACCATCAAGGATGGCTTAGCAACTGCGTGTTTGCAAGCGGTTGGCAATATCGTATCACAGGTACAAGTATTTGCGTATATGGTACAGTACAGTACAGTACGGTACAGTACAAGTGCAAGTTATGACAACTCCCTTTCTCAAGGCAGCGGCGAAAAGAGCGTCAACTGAACAAAGCTGACATCAACTGCCACAAGTCAGTAACTACCTATAACTAAACATAAATAACCCCATATCAGAAACAAACCCCCTTTCAATGTCAAAATAATCACACTGATGTCCAAGACCACCGCCTTGACCGACCTAATCACACCACTTAGTTTCACATTACACACAGGTCAGTTCAGAGCGGAAAGTTCATCTGGAAGTTCTGCTCATATCCTGAACGACGTCACTCCAAAACCCTCCGTTTGAGCTTACGCTTTCCCGACGGATCTCACTATCCCGGCCCACAACTCGTTGCGTTCTCGTTCTGCCTATCAACATCATCACGCACCGCGATAGTTTTCCACCCTCTACCGCCGTCCATTGCCATCTACCACCATCCACCGCCTCCTGGAGAGCTTCTGCAGTTACAATTTCAATAGACTACCGCCATCATGGCGGGCTGGTTTAGCTCTACCTCTCCGTTCGATGAACAGGTAGAAAAGGCAACTTCCTCCTCTCTGTATGTACCCTAATCTCCGGCTGATTCTTTATATTATGATGACGGAGCCTGCTAACATAAGCAAAAGAGAGGATATTGCAGCAAACCTGGAAATTTCAGATATCATCCGCTCAAAACGTGTACAGCCTAGAGATGCTATGCGATCGCTGAAAAGAAGGTTGGAGAGCAGGAACCCGAATATACAGCTAGCAACTCTAAAGGTTCGATCGATATCTTGAATTTCCCTAACCCACTTTTTCCCAGTGTGTTTTACCTTTGTGCTTACCTCCAATCGATTGCCAGTTGACGGATACATGTGTCAAAAATGGAGGGAAACATTTTCTCGCGGAAATCGCCTCTCGTGAATTCATGGATAATCTCGTTTCGTTGCTTAGAGCTTCCGGACCTGCGACTCTGAATGGCGAAGTGAAGATGAAAATACTAGAGGTCATTCAGACATGGGCGTTGGCTACTCAAACACGAAGTGACTTATCGTACATTGGAGAAACCTATCGGGGTCTGCAGAGGGAAGGTTATCAGTTTCCACCGAAAACTGACATTGCAAGCAGCATGCTTGACAGCAGCGCTGTAAGTGTACAACCCCTTGGGCGATTAGGATTCTATGGATGTATCTCTTCTAACCAACCCAAAGCCTCCCGAATGGATAGATTCGGATGTCTGTATGCGATGTCGAACTGCTTTTACATTCACGAATCGGAAACATCACTGCAGGAACTGCGGTAATGTCTTTGATGCGCAATGTTCAAGCAAAACCATTCCCCTTCCCCATTTGGGTATCATGCAGGCTGTAAGAGTCGATGACGGATGCTACGCCAAATTAACATCTAAATCTTTCAATCCCTCGAATTTATCAAACCAATCCGGGAATCATAAATCTGGCTCCAGTTTCAGGCCCCTTTCTCCTCCAATGGAACCCCGTAGTGCCAGAGCTGAGTCAGACTTTGATGAGGACCTCAAGCGTGCGCTTCAGATGAGCCTTGAGGACGTAAAGCCTCACGATGGTGCTGGATATGTTCCCCAACCCAAGCCCGCTGTAACGGAGCCAAAGATGGCTGGATCGAACGGGGTTTCTAAAGACGAAGATGAGGATCAAGATCTGCGAGCTGCCATCGAGGCGTCATTGAGGGACATGGAAGAACAGAAGAAAAAACACGCAGCAACTTTAAAGAGCACGACCGCTGCAAATTCATCCACACCTGCAGTCACAGCTGCTCTCATGCCAAAGAAAGACTATGAGCTTAGCGCAGTGGAAGCGGAAAATATTAATTTATTCGCGACGCTTGTTGATCGGTTGCAACACCAGCCACCAGGTACGATCCTTCGAGAACCACAAATTCAGGAACTGTATGAAAGCATAGGCGCTCTAAGACCGAAATTGGCACGTACTTATGGGGAAACAATGAGTAAACACGGTACGTCGGTTGAATGCCCCATCTGCAAGCCTCGTTCTAATTTAACCTAGATACCCTTCTTGATCTTCATGCCAAGTTATCAACGGTTGTACGGTACTACGATCGCATGCTCGAAGACCGTTTATCCAACACATACGCACAACATGCCCTAGGCGCTTACAAGTATCTACCACCTAGCCAGCCTGCTTCAACTGCGTATCCATCCATCCCACCGAATCTTACCGATGCCAGGGGAGGTGCGGAGAACTTTTACTTTGGCTCAGCGCCTATAGAAAAAGCCGTTCCTCTTAGCCAATATCGTCCTCGTGAGCGTCAATCGTCAGTGAGCTCCGGGTATGATCCGCATTCAGGTGTTCCTCACTCACAAATAACGCCTTTTAATCCCCCGCAAAATGATCGATGGGACCGTCAGAACGAATACCAACCGTACACCTCTCCGCCACCTACAAATCCCGTAGTTCAATACCAGAACCATTCCATGCCTCAGGGACACCCTGTGCAGCCTGGACAAGCCGAAATTAGCGGCCAACCTGGGCCTGCTGGTTACTATTTCGCGCAACCGGTCACTCTTCCGGTCGGCCAGGAGCCCCCAACAGCTCCAGGGCAATACGTTCCTGGATCCGATCACCCGTATCAACCCTCATCTCCCATAATGCGAAAAGACTCTCAATTCCAGCCATCGCAAACAGTCCCACAAGCGAACCCGCCGCACCAAAGCCTCCCCCCATCACAGGACGTCCCTCCCCCCGCACAATTCCATCCTCAGCTCCAAGCAACCCAGTCCCAGCCCCAGGCCCAGTCCTATGAAACTCCTACGCAAAGCATAGCTCAATTGTCCAATCCCTACAATAATTGGCCCCAACCTGAACCGGGAACGAATCCGCAATACATGCCACCGGTTGCAAATGAATCGTATATCACCGTTGTCCCCGTGTCTACAGATGGGGACCCGTCGTACCTATCCCAACAGCCGCCGCAGCAGATACAACAGCAACAGCAGCAAGTTACCCCAAAGCCGGTTGAAGAGCCCAAATTGATTGACCTGTGAGACACATGCGGCGTTGGCTGTACTTTTAACCCATTGTTTCGCCCCCTTTCTCCATCACTATTTCCCCCCCCTTTTTCTTGATACCCAATGTGGTTTCCCCCGCTGCCTTCCGCGATATGGTTAGCCAAATGTGAATTACCATTTTCCATGCACAAGTTAATATCTCCTGTGCTTCCCATTTGCCCTGAAGCTTATGCTCTTTCTGCTGTTGTCTCCTTTTTGCGCTTATGGGTTTCCTTTGAGATGTGGCAAAATGCAATGTTTTCTCCCTTTTTTTTTTTTTTTTTTTTTTTTTTTTTTTTTTTTTTTTTTTTCTTTTTTCCTTTTCTTTTTCTGTTGGTTGGTATTGTAAGTATGTGTGTATGGCATGGTTTGGCTATTGGATGTATTGATTGAATAAAAAGGGTATACTAAGATAGTCTTGTTGTTGAGCTGGTTCGCTTCCTGGTTTCCTGGTGGCGTGGAGTGTTAAATAGTTGAGAAACATTTAATGGCTCCAGGGCCAATTATGCAATGGCACTAACAGGATTCTAACCTGCCTCAATTATATAGGAAGCAACCCTGTTTTAATACGTTCATAACAAGATTTCTTTAAAAAATATCATTTAAATCATGCGCATACCTCTGCTAAAAGAATTGAATAAGTTAATATTGGGCAATCGGCGTACAGCAGCTGATTGATTCAACTTCATATGGCTACTTTTATTATAGGCATACTTTTCAGGCATCCTTTTAACTAAGTCTTAACTAAGTGTTAATTAAGCTCTTGACTAACTTTCAACTAAGCTTTTCACTGTATCTAGCTAGGCAAACCCCTGGGCCCCTTCCTTGTCACCCCACGTGATGCCCCTCACCGCCTCCCGCTCGCCAGTTCAAACAAGTGAAGTTAAGTTACGGGTGTTGCTTTGTCATGGCATTGGCCTTTTTGACATCAACCTCCAGGTCTGGAATTTGTTGTACTCTTCGGATTATATCCTCCTCTGTCCGGTGAGTTCCAGACCAGTTCCAGCCCAGTCCCAGCCAGACCCTCCCCTTCCAACCATTCCATGTTGTGGTTCGAATTGCTGATAGTGAAATAATAACACGCTGCTACTTAAGAGCCTTTGCGCGGATTGGAGATTGCCCGCTGCTGCACCTGCTGATCGTCTCGGCCATAATTGCACAAATCGCCCCATCACCACCCAATTACTTGCCGTTATAAGCCGTGTCCGTCGCGAGTGGAATATCCAAAAACTTCATTAATCGAGTCTCATTGTCCTACAGCCTATAGCACGACCGAAAGTAACCCGGCTGTGGCGACATTTATGACGCTGGCAGGTTGCCTAGAATAAACGGCTGAGCGTTTGTGCAGCAAATAACCACCCCTGATTCTCCCACCTTGCCGCCCCACCATGCCGTCAAAGAATAGCCTGACGTCCTCAAATAAGCGTTCCGTACCCTTCCAGCAACAAGCCTCACCAGATTCGTCCGTGCCACCGCGAGAGACACCTCAACCCGAAGCTGGCTCCCCGCACCTCCATAACACCAATAAAGCTTCTACTCACAAACCTCACCGGCCACATGTAGTTGTTTCGCACCGACCGCATATGCATGTGCGCAATCTGTCGCTGAAGAACATTAACAGACTTCAGAGACTCGCTGCTGCGCACACTTTGTCAGGGGAAGGTGACACCCAAGTTGGACCTGCGCTGAGACACCACCAACACAAAAAGTCGGCGTCCGCTTCTCCTGCGACGAGCCCGCGTGTTAGCCATCAAAACGTACGCTGGAATGGCTCAATAGTTTCGCTAGCTGGCCACGCCACGAATCCCGCAATACGCAAGAACCTCTCTACTCCCGCGTTGCGGATTGCTTCGGGGATTCTCTTGAAGAAACCCCATGCGATAACAAAGGCGGGAGCAGGAGCAGGAGCAGGCAACAAGGCTGGACAGAAAAAGACTGTTGGTTTTGAGCTTGCGACTTCGGATGACGACGACGACGACGACGACGACGAGTGGGAAGATAACACTAGCTCTTATTCTCCGGAGAGCACAAGACACAATTCGGTGGTCACGAACAAGATGGGCACTGATAATAGTCTTAATTCTACGCTCCCTGCGACAAAATCTCCCCTTACTCAAGTAGAAACCACCGATACTACAGATGAAGCAGATGAGACTCCAGGCCGTCAGCAGACGTCAGGTCGTACTAGCGGCTCCGATCCTGGGGTTTCTCGGGAACCCACTGCACTTGACCAGGACGATATCGCTTCTCGTCTCCTCCATCACCCACATTCTTCCAAAGTTCCTCCTGCCATATCATCCGTCTCAGCTACCGCAACGCCGCCAGCAGCAGTCCGTACTGCCCATCCTCCATCAGCCCTTCCTTCAAGCCATGTCCGCAATTCTGAGCTGTCCGGACAATGGTCAACAGTTGGGAGCAGCTCATCTATTAATCCGCATGGAACGTCATCATCGATCGAAGGAGGTGTATCCAGATTCATCATCAATGGCTCTAATGGCAATGTTGGAGCCACCCCCGATTCTGACCTCAACACCCCATTATCTTTCCACCCTCATTACTACCCCAACACGCCACCGTCTCCGGAGACTACAACAAGTTCCACACGCCCAAGCTCTCGCGGACGCCAACCAGAGCCTCCTTCGCGTACACAGCAGAAACTGTGGCTACAGCGAACTGCGGCTCTTACTACCTCGTTGCCGGATCCTTCTATATCTGGCCCTTCCCCTACAGCGCCATCATCTATATTGGAGCCGGCTTTTATGGCAGCTACACAATCCCGACCATCCAACTCCCGTGCCAGAGATGGCCGCAGGGCAATGATGGGAACGGGTGGAGTCTCAGGAATAAATACGGATCACGAAGCGAAACGAACCCGTAAGACATATGACAAATATACAATGGAATATTCAGTAGTACGCCGTTTCAGAGAGCCTGTCGCAGAGAGCTTCCTTAGACTTGAGAAATTAGCCGGGACCAACGGGAAAACCAATAATACACCTCAAGGCCAATCAACCGGCCCGAACCTCGTCACTAATAACGGGAACATCTCACGTCCCCCTTCATCCTCACGAATCATCGACAGTGACCCCACCGTCAACAGCCAGTTTCTAAGCAAAGTGCCCAAGTCAACCAGCCAGCTACGACTCCGCAGCTCAGAGGATTCAGGCCGCACCGGCGACTCGGATGAACCGGGTGACCGATTCGATATAGAGAATCAACCACAGCGGCATAATTCTGTCGCCGTTGCCCTTGCGGATGGCAATATGTATGAGGTTCAGATTGATGATGATACTGGCGGCGCTGGTGGTGATGGACAGGGCGCATATCGACCCAGTGATGTCGAGCTGCTGATTAGGCGGATGTGGGATAGCCGTGAGCCTGCTGTTGCGGATGATTGATTGGTGGCGGAGTTTCTGCCCTTTTGTCATTTATTCCATTTCGTGTTCCCGCTACACTCTTTCATTTTTAATCAATGTATATTTCACATGAGCGTGACTCGACGATAGCTCCTTTTGCTTACAGCGGCTGTTCTTGGTGTACCCTTGTTTCCTTCCCATTTTTACATGACATGCTACAACCTTCGCGCTCCTTTTCTTATTGAATTTGTACAAGGTGGCGCTCTTTTTTCCCAATTCCGCCTTTTCTGGCTTTCCTATTTCTCGGGAGCTGTTTCTTATTTGCCCAGCCTTGCCTGGCTTGTTTTGGTTTTTATGGCTTTTCACTCTTTATCCTTCCTTGGAATGGTGTTTACCTGGGGAGCTATTATTTCTGAGATGGCACATGAATAAGTTATTACCTCTTATTTATCCTCGTAGGAATGAGATATATATTTATTGTTTAATTATTTGAACATGTGCTATTGAAGAGTTGTTTCATTTCAACAATATACTGTGATCAATAGTATTGTCAATATGCTCAAATCATATCAGGGAAATTATCACTTTAAAGACTTAGTTATATCCATCTGTACTAGTTAGGTCTTCATCAATATAATTTCGTCGAAGCCTCAAATGAATGCACATTCTGCCTGCAAAGTAATTAGTGATTTTTAACACATAATGTTGTCCAGAGAACTGGCAACTGAAATGCATTGAGGATGGATGTACTTAGTGATGCGTTATAAGGTTCAAAGTTTTGTATTTATTTCTTGCTCTCGATCCTATAACAAGTCACCTTCTACTATACTCCGTGATCGCGGATAGGAAGTCAGAGGGGGCAAACAATTCATCAACTGTTAAGAATAGCCGAGGATCGCCGTTTGCATATTGCTGACAGTAAGTAGCATGAAAGATATAAAATAGTCTGGCATCGCAGCGAAACTTCACCCTGCCCCTGAATCAATCCTAGCCCTAACCGGCGACTAACTAGTTGACGAACACCATCCCATGCCCCGCAATGAGGCTCTGTCACTCGAAGATGGACGAATAGGTGGATAGTCTCATGCCTAGATGCAGGCTGCCAACACTCCGCCGAGGACTGTTAAGATGGGCCTAGAATATTTGGTCGCTAAAATGCGGATTGGCAGCCTTGGAAGGGGGCGATAGGCTCGTCCTCCTATAAAGTCGCGAGGGGTGCCTGTTTCTTACCGTTCACACGTCTAAGATATTATACTCATTTTGACGTTATATCCGTCGTGTGTTGATGCTGCGTTGGGATACCTCTATATATATATATATATATTTTGCAGTTTTGCCTTTACGACGAACTTGCGGTTGTTCGGTTAGGATACATTTACGGTATATTCTTAGGCTTCCATATACACTACTATTTCAGGAATTGGGTTGCCTGGAATTTAGTTGGATCACTTACCCGGCTCTCTGTCTACCACAGAGAGCGTTTGCTTTTGAAGAGCATACGTGTTTTGGCGTCCCGGGAGACACCTAACGGTTTTTTTCATCTTCACACAAAAACCAATGGGTCTTCCCAAACCCAACCGTCCGTTCAGGGACGATTCGCCTCTCCCATCTTCGGCCTCGGCCCATTCCCTCCAGACATATCAGGACGTGGAGCCGGAAGATAACCCACCTGCTTACACAGATGATGATACTCTGACAATCCCCCAATCCCGCTCCCCCATACGCACCAACAATCTCTCGTCCGTAGGGCGCCTGGTGAGCCCCTACGAAGTCCCTGGCGGGCGTGTGATATCCTCCTCTCGCGCCAAGAAGACATACACGGTGACCCTCGAGCCGCAATTCTCCCAGAATCCTGAGGCGCTCTGTTCTCTGGTTACATTTCAAGCAGACCGTCCGCCTGTGCCCATTATAGTCGTTAAGGGCACGCATACGGTCACGAACAAGAATTCTGGGTCGAACAAGGGATCCAGCAAGGATACTGTGGTCGATTTTGATTTTCGCATTAACTGCGTCGGCTCTGTGTTGCCGGATGTTGATCAGCTGGGGAATCGGTGTCGGTTTGTGGAGGTTGTGCAAGATAACGATGGAAGGAAGACATACAGGGGAGGTAGATTAAAGAGCAAAGGTGGGAGCAAAAATAAGAAGCAGGACCATGTTGCTGGTTCTGGTACGAACGCAGATCTTGAGGAGGGCCAGGGGTTGACTTCGGGGAGTGACGGACCAGATTTGGAGGAATGGTGCAGACGATTCTGCAATGATAAGGCGGGAGTTAAGTCGTAAGTTTTCCGTTCCCGTTATTTGGCATGATAGAATATCTATGAGAAGCACGGAAGAAAGGGCGTGAAAATACTCCAAATACCCCAAACTAAACGCTCCAAATCAGCTTCACCTTTCACCGCGCTCTGGAAGTCTGGAACCACCCCGTGCTCCACAAGGGCATCACAACCCTAATCCGCTCCCTTAATTACCGCGGTCACATCTGCATAGAAATTCATACACACAACGCCCACTTAACCGTCTACTCACCCTCACTCCTTAACAACCTGCGCACACACAGCCTCGTCTGGTGGGCCTGCGTGCTCCTTCAACTCTGGATAATTACCTGGCCGCTTCTCTGGCTGCTCGAGAAACGCTATGAGCCTATCACAGCCACCTGGTATGCGCGGTATGACGATGAGTATGCCTGTGGGCTTAGTGAGACAGCATGGCTAGAGCTGTTCACCCCTGTTATCAAGAGGTCGGTGTTGGGAAGGGCTCGGGATGGGGAGGTTGTGGGATTAGAGGAGGCCAGGAGTGCAAGGGAGGAAGCGAGTATTGTGGCTAGGGGTGAAGGTCAGAGATTGGAGTCTGAGGCGGAGAGGGAGAGGAGGGAGAGGATGCAGCGGGGCCAGGGGGGTTGGGCAGACTCGTTGGTGGGCGTAGTGAGGGGCGTGGCGGAAGTGGGGATGGAAATTAATCAGGTAACAGGGTGGGGTGGAGATCGTTGACAGTGTAGCGTTTTTTCCTGAGTTGTGAATATGTTTCTGCATCTGTTTTAGTTGGTAAATTCGCTTGCCCGACCCTTGATCCCATTTCCGCTATCCATTGCATGTGTCCACTTTATTTTCGACAATCTGCACGGAGTAGAATTGGTAAGCTGTTCATCCACAATTCCATCCCCACTTACTTTTCAGTGATAAATAAGGCCACAATCATCGCTAATGTGAACTATCACGCCATCAACTTGCTGATCACATCTAGACAAATTGAGATTGTCCTGCGTCATTGTTGGTCAATGAACCCTCATTATATCGTTAACAATATACACTATCCAATATGTCCCCGTTATATATAACTGAATGAAATAATCCACCCGACCAAATTGACAGTAAAAATATAGGCAACAAATATACACAAAAATGGAGATGAAAGAAGGATCGCGTAGCAACACACAGTATGAGTTGAAATTAGGAAAAACAACACCGGCACAGATTCTAGGACGACGACCCTACCCTCTCCTTCTCTTTGCCGTTCCCAAGGCCGCTTCTCGTACCCCCTATAGAGGGCCCATGACCATGACCATGGCCCTGCCAGCGACTACCTCCACGTCCACGATCAGGAAAGGATCTCCTACTATCCTGGTTCGCAGTATTCTGGGTTAGAGAAGCAGAAGGCCCTTTTTCAATGCTCGCCGCCGTGGCTAAGGCATCGGAAATATTTCCTACGCTACCACCACCATACCTTCGTTCCCGGTCAGAGCGGGCTTGACCTGGACTCTTGCTCTTCCCAGGCCCAGACTCAGGTCCACGCCCCGTGGATCTATTTCGATTTCCACCCCCGCCATTTCTATCACAACCTCTCCACCGTCCTTTTCCGCTCCCCACTCCCGTCCTCGTATCCTTTTTCGCCGCCAATTCCGCCCTCTCCGCCTCCTCCCGCACCCGCTTACTTTCCTGATCCCACCATTCCTGAAACTCCTGCTCAAGCTGGATATCCTGCAATTTGTGCTTGGCAGTGACTGATTCGCGGAGCTCATCTTTCTCGCTCTGCTGCTCTTTGAGGATATAGGCAAGAGAGAGTTGGCTGGTAGAGGGGGAGGGTGAGGAGTAAATGTATCGTTGTTGTTGTTGTTGTTGTTGTTGGTCGGGTTTGTTCCGAGGGGTGATATTGTAGGTGAGTGATCGTGGTGTGGGTTGGATTAGCGTTGTTGTGTGGGTTGACATAGCTCCAAGGGAACTCCGTGGGACGAAATCTTTCTTGGTGATGGGGCGGGGTGAGGCTTTGGTTAATGAAGAGGGCACTATTTCAGGGCTTTGTGCATGTTGTTTCTGTTTAGGGGGTGTTGGTGTGCTACTTTGCGGTGACCGGGCGCCTGAAACGGTTTGCCGCAATGTCATCGGTACCTTGGAGGGAGTGCGAGTAGGCACGGAGACATTTTGTGGACAGTGGCTTTCTGTTTGTGTTTTTAGTGATGAATTCGATTTGATGTTGACAGTTTGCCAGGGCGATGCGGGCGTTGATCTAGATGCCTCTTGTTCTGCAAACAATTCCTGCGCTTGCTGATACTGGAGCTTCTTGCGTTCTCTCTGCGAGAGCTTTGATGCAGTGAGTTTACTTGCGGGCACATCCCATCGGGACGATTTATTCAAGCCTGTGCCCGATGAATAGGATCCCAAGGCTTCTGCCATGATATCCTTCAAGCCAGCCTTGGAACCTGAAGGTCCAACAGAACTCCAAGGGGCTCCTATAGACGCTCTTACTTGAGATTTTGCCATAGGTGTAGATGCACCAATTTGAGTCGGCGACGGTGCGTACGTTTCTAATCCGGGATCGTTTGCTTTTTCAACAGCATGCAAGGGATGTCTTCTGGAATCGCCATGATCAAATTTTCCTTGTAATTGCTGGGAAATACCAATCCTGGAAGGGGATTTCCCCTCTGGCTGATCATCAGAGGGCAAATTTTCGTCATCCATTTGGAAAATCAAGTCACCTGTAGATTGTTTCGACTTCAGGACGGTGTTTTCCTCAACATTTGGCTCTGCCCCCCTATACGCTGGTTCAGGCGCGATAGCCTTACGAGCAAGTGGTAAAGATGGAATGCCCTTCTCCACTGAACCCTGGCGGAATTTCCCCTCACGCAATTCGTCCTCGTGCCGACGGGTCCGAAGTCTCATTGAATCAATCCGTCGCTGTCTATCCTGCCCCACGAAGGGGACAATCTCCGGATACCTTTCTGCGACGTAGTCCTCGGAATTCCGACCTCTGGATATCGGCTGGCAATTTAGTTGGTTTGCTCGGCAAACTTCATCGAGTTCACGGAAGAGCTCGTCATCCAGATCGTCAAGAAGTCTAAATGGGGAATAAGCCAACGTATGAGTCGAAATGACACTCACGTAGTGAAATTTGGTACATACCTATTTTCCAGGATGGTTTCAAGATTCAAACAAACATATTCCAACGCAGCTTTCTTGAATGCCGTCACCGAACATGGTGCAACCGCATTTAAGTAGTGGCATGCATTCCGATTGTTAACTGAAGAAGTTAGCACGTCCCCCTCGAGCAGATAGGGACAGAGGATATCTACCAAAACGGCCCAGCAACTTTTGGCATATCTGTGCGAGGCGGTCCAGCATTAACTCATTCGCAACGGCCATAACATCAATAACCAAATCAATCAGGTCTGCCAAATCATTCAACTTAACATGTTCGAAAAGTTCATCATCCGTATCTGCGTATATGTAACGCATTACGAACTTGAAGATGTCATGACTGATGTGCTTCAAATCGATCCGAAGAGGATCTATGGAATCGGGCGAGCCAGCGCGCCTGCCAGCCAACCAGCGGCCACTAGCTCTGCCGTAGAACAAACCATCAAAAAAGGGGCAGCGTTTGCATAAAATCTGGCTGTGGGCTTTCATATCGCCGCCATCAAGTTCAATAATAACATCGGAATTTTCGAAGAAATTAGGATCCTTAAACGCTCGCTCCATATCTAAATTTAAGCGCTTATGCGGTAACGTCATTAACCGCGATGCACGCTCAAGAGCCTGAAGCTCAAGCACCGTAGATATCTTTAAGACTTCAATTCGAACTCGTTTGTAGTCTGCAGCCTGTGATGGCGACTGCCGTGCCAGCGTCCAGACATCATAGATCTCCTCAGTATACAAATAAAGAGCCAAAATGAATATGGATAGAAAATCGACGTCATTGAATTTGATCGTGATATGTCCGTTCTTGTCATACTCAATGCCGAAGACGTCCAGGATGGAATAATAATACGTCTTGCGGAACTCAGAGAATGCTCGCCTCAAAACCGAGCTACGAGCAGCCAGTATAAACTCGTGAACGGGAATTCGTACATCTGAAGATGTCGTGGATACCCAAACGATCGAATTGAGAAAATGGTTGGAGAGAGCAGCGTTGTCCAAGGTAGACTTAATCGCCGACTCAAGGTTGCACGGTTTGATGTATTTGTCCCCGATCATAACATCCATAGACATTGACGTACGGCTGTCAGAATCTCCCTGCTTTAATATACCATCAAACGGCGAAAGGGGCTTTAAATCACGCCATAGCATGCAGGTGTCAACGCAGATTTGCTCTCTTGCCACATTGCACCCACGCTGGACAGCTGCAAAAGCTCCATACGCATTACTCCTAACAGCCACGACGCGGGAAAGGCCCGGAACGCGAACAAATTTGTAATCCTTCAACCGAGTCTCTCCTGAAATTTTACTGTCGGCATCCTTGATCTTTGCAAGTTTCTCCTTCCTCCAGGCGAATCCGGATTCGGTACATATGATGATCGACCCATCTTGACCAACGTCAACATCTCGGACGGCCATGTGGACCTTTTTGATAGACCACACACGAGACGGTTGGGGTAGCGAGTTACGAATCTTGGCTGGGTTGGTTGTAGATGAGGCCGTAGAACTGATATCAGGCTTGCGGCTAACGTTAACTGTATAAACCTCACCAAAACTCGACATGGCACATATAGTATTGCCACCAGATGTAATTTTGGATATGTAATTGGTCGATGAGCCGTATCTGGTCGACATGAAGCTGTCTCTTATGAAGCTCGAGGTCCCGTCGAGCGGAAAAACTATTTTTGAATAACCATAGTGCGTAAAGACCCAGACCTCATGGTTTTCGAGCAGGCAGCTCGTGGCTCGGTCGATGGCTGAAACCATAACAATGGGAGAGCTGAAAAGCGATGCCCCTACTCGTCGAGGAATCGTTTGCGACTCGAGGGAACGGGCATCAGCATCAATAAGGCCTAGCTGGCCTTCGTTTTTACCAAAAGTGTATAAACTTGTGGGGGTAAATACAACGGAATGGATAGATGATGCTGCTGCGCCGATAATGGCTTCTTTCTTGAAAGGGTTGAAGATTTGTCGTGGGATGGTTTGGATAGGAACATCGTTCTTTTTGTTCGTCTGGGGAAGAGTGTAGCCCAGTTGGCCATTTTTATTACTTCCCCATGAGAACACTTCTCCCTGTTCGCTGATGGCGATAGAATGGTCCTGTCCCAAAGCCAAAGCAACGACCTTCTTTCCCGCAAGGCCGCCTCCCTCGATACAAACGAAACTGAACCTTGTATTTTCGTCTCCAGTCCCCAATCTCCCTCCTGGACCAAAACCGCAAATAAACAAATTTGACACTGGGTCATTCGTAAGTATTCCGGTGTGTAGTTTAGACATTACAATTTGTCTGAAGCTAATAGGCCGGGCCCGTACCAAGGTGGGTATCTCGGTCACAGAGTTTATATCAGGATGCACAGCGCTGGGATCCGATCCCGTACGCGCGGCACGAATAGTTTCATACTCGCGGTGGAACGTGTATAGCAAATGGTCCGGACGGGTCAAAGCGATTCGTTCCGGAAATTGGCGATCGCCTTCATCTCCCAGTCCAAGATTCAGATTTTTATTGCTACCAAAAGTGAATACCTCGTCACCACATAAGTTTACTGCAGGTCTTGCTCTGCCTCCCCCAATATCGTGATCAGATTCGGATGCGACAGAAGAATCGGTGGACACGGAATATTTCTCGTCTGATGTGTATTCATGTTCCGAAGACCGGTTGACGATATCACGGGGTAAAATGGTCGCCCCGAAGACATCAAAGGGACTGTTCCCTTCGCGATCCTTGATCTTAATAAGGCCACCGGAGGGATGGTGAACTCCACCAGGCATCCTAAAACCAGTAGCATCGCGAATATCCCTGACAATTAGCGCGTGTGCAATGGTCACATTCCCGGCATATAACGCTCGGTGCAGCGCAGTCCATCCACTCTCCAAATCCTGCGCATATATATCGACGGACGGCACCTCCAGCAACGCAGTCGCAAAGTCAATCGCATGCTCCTTCTGCGACGAGGCTATAAGGTGCAACAACGAGCGACCATATTGGTCCTTGGTATTGACATCAGCACGGGTTAATGCAATTGGCGCATTCCGCGTTGACGAGGAAGGGTGTTTATCCGGCAGCTGCTTTGGGGACGATGAGGTAGGTGGGCGATTCTTCAAGAATGAGCCTGGAGAAACTCCCAGAGTGGCAGTCCCTGTGGATGTGAAAGCGGAAGATGTGGGCGTTGTAGATTTCCAATGTGTACGGGAACTAGAGGCCTCTGCCAGAAACCGCTTGAAGCTTTCGACATCATCTTGGAGAAAATACTGCCAGAGTTTGCTACTCATGTGCCACTGCGTAGGGTGCTGGCAGGATCCCCGAATAGAAGACCCCTTGTTTTCGAATCCCCGGAGCAGGACTGAAAGGTCGCTGTCGTCTCGACGGAGTGTTAGGTGCCTTCGTCTGATCTCAACGCGGTGGAGATATGGAATAGTGCGCGAGGAATGAAGGCGAAGTAGTAGCCAAAATTTGTTCGCCGATAGACGGATGCACGCTTCGATAAATTTACAATGAATTTACCTGCAATTCCGTTTCGTCTCAATAGGAGCGTGTCTCAAGATTTCGCAGCAGAGAAGGTGGCGTTCGGCAAGAGTCCGTGTCTGTCAGCGCAACAAGCAACAATCAATCACTCTGTAGCAAAAAAGAGATTTAACGGAAAAGATCTGAACTGGCGCTAGAGCAGACAAATGTAATTGTGACTGGAGATACAATGTTGGCCTAGGAGTTGAGCGGGGAGGAGACGATGCAGAGGGAAAAGGTGTGAAGTAGGGAGATGATCGTTTTAAGTTGGTCCAATTTGTTGAATATGATGATATTGGGGTTCGGCCAATCACACGATGCGGACAGCACATGAGAACAGGTGAGAGGCTGAAATTGACGGCTAGGCATAAAGTACCAAGCAGCAAGAATATTAGATCTATCTGTGGGATAGTAGTTAATTCATACGAAGAATCTATTATTAACAGCACATATTTTGATGTGTTATCTAGCAACTAGTAAGCAGAGCAGTTGAAAAAAAGTATTCTTCTAGCGTACGGAGTATATGGTTGAATACTCCATATTATATGCTGCCTAGGGAACAACTAGATGTTGATAAAGAGTGGCAGAATGCATGTAGATGGTACACAATATATGAGCAACATTCAATAACTCCATTCAGTAAAAATGTACTAGCCTGTTGACACTGTAATGGGTGGAGCTATTGAAGTGAATATCAATATCCGCAACTTTCATCGTCAAAAAGCTCTATCCGTATCAGCACGGCACTCATTCGTTGCTTGTCCCTCAAAGGCCAAGAGGCTAGGACACTCAATGCTCGCTCGGGATGGTTCAGGCATATTCTGATCCTAGAAGACAATATATCTCAAATCCCTGCTCTACCTCCGAAAAGCATTTACCTGATCGAATAAAATTTTCGAGTAAATCAATGCCCAATGCAAAACATAGCTTGATTTGATTGCCCCCAGCCGTGCGTGGAAAGTCTGCATCTGTAGGCCATTAGCATCTAGGCAGCTGCCTGCACAGAACACTGACCAACAGCAAAATGAGCCATGTCATGGCGCACAGGCAGGCAGGCAGCATTTCGAAAATCGTCGGCAAACTTGTTTGGAAAGAAAACTAGAAGCCTTGTCAGCTTATCAACTTGTCAACTCAAGCAACAATAACCGGTCGTCGGGTATTTAAAACAAGAAGAGGTTTTTTTTTTTTTTTTTTTTTTTTTTTCTGTTACTATCAAATTGTAGGTTGCAATTATGGTTGGCTGTTGATTGAGGCTCAAGCGCATCCGTCAAGCCTTTATCCAGGTCAAGGGAGAGAGTCAAGCAAGAGAAGAAAAGAAAAAGGAGAAGGGAAAAAGGAAGGGAGAGAAAAGAAAAGAAAGGGCCCGTGCCCCCTGGCGCTTCCAAGGTTGGCTCGCAAGCGATCTTTGATCATTGAGGTGATACTGACCAGGATCCTAACGATACCAGAAGGCCTTGGTCATATTCGGTTGCCAGAGTTTTGTAGAGTTTGTGGACATGGAATATACCACTTCGTTGGATTTGCCCGGAGCAGAGCATGCATAACAGATTGGGAATCGCTCAGGAGAAAAGGGAATGAAAATATCCTGATTTCTGGATACAGGCCCTCCTCACGGGACCTGTCAGTCAGTCAGGCGGCTGCCGCGGTGGTCGGTGGTAGGTGGTCATTACGGCCAGCCATTTAACGCTCCGTGACTAGTGAAACTAAGGAGAATCCAAGCAGATTTGATGCAGAGGCACGGAATGGGGGAAGCAGGATGACAGGAATCATGAGTTTGCCGTATAAAAAACGCGCACGAATCTCCGAAATGAAATCACTGGTCACTGATCAGTAGACACGTCTGCATCTGCGGGTTTGGATGATGGGTTATTCGTCCGCGGGGGGGTTTTCCCCTTCTCTGATCTTCGTGCCGGAACTGGAAGGTTGCAGGATCGACTGACTGGTTACGTTGTTAAAAAAGAGCTGGGTTTGAACGTGTTGAAACAATCTCGACTCCGGATTTCGAGGACGGGTTGTAGAAATCATTAACCTCAACTTCTCCGATGCCTAACGCCATGCTCCATTCACCACTTCAAAAAAAAAAAAAAAAAGGGGGGGGAGAATAATTATTAGTTCATTCTGAAAGGAGTCCAGGGTTGATAATAATAATAGGGAACACCTGTGTCCTCTGGAGCCAAGAGAAAAAAAAAAAAGTTACCGGAGTTTTTGAGCTAACGACTGCGTGAGGAGGAGTTGCTTCTCCTTACATTTGCCATTTGCGCGGACGCTCAGTCCGAACACGATTTGACATAAGCAGTTAGGGTCCTTGCGGTCAGGTTAATAATATAGACTTCGCAGCGGAGGGCACTTGGGGGGAAAAAAAAAAGTTTCTGTGGTCTGGAGTCTGGAACAGAGCGATGAGGATCTGCAGCTGCAGGTGCTGGTCGCAGGCAGAGAGATGGGGGGACGAATGGGAGGGGCGCCATCCACGCTCTGTCACACCCCAGGGACTGTTTGGGGGAACCGGGGACTACTGTAGCTGATTGGTGTGATGAGCGCCGCGACGGTTTGTTTTTGTGGGCCAAGTCAGTGGCTTGGGATTCATGGGCTGCATGGCGAGGCAGCCAGTGCCAAACGCAGCCTAGACATCTGCCTCGTCTAAATGCAGCGTTTATCGACGGGGTGATTCTGAGGGATTATGTTCTCTGGAGTACGACGCTGATGCGGAAAACTGTTTTGTGATATGTAGCATATAAGGATTGCTGTGTTTGTCGAGAGCAATATCCGGGGAAATATCGATGTAGTTGTGCGGAGGTCGGTGTGGCATTTTGCCTAGATCCGGAGGGATGTTTCGTCACTATTTTAATTATTTTTTTTTTTTTTAATTATTTTTATTTTTATTATTTTTTATTTTTTTATTTAATTTTTTATTGTTTGTCTGTTTTCCATTGATGCTAGATGCCTTGGAGATGGCGTCAGCATCAGCATCAGCATCAGCATAGCAAGTACATGAGGATGAGAGGGTCCAGATACCAACCCACCGTTCTATACCATTACGGTAACGCGGCAGAGGTATTGCTGAAATGCGGGCGCCGGGTGACACAAATAGAAAGCAAGAACTTCCCCCATTGATGGTAATAAGGTTTATGCAAGCCACGAGCGGCCGTGTGTATTGTATAGCGCATTGCTTTACATGACCATACGGCAGCTCGCTCCGAAGTATGAATGAATGACTCGACCGGAAGAGGTACACCATTTGACCATTTGATGCAATGAGATTGTGGACTGACTCCCGGAGACAGATATAAAGATGGTTGCGATGAACAACAATATCGACTGGACAACTTGAAATGCTCTGGAGCATTTCTTTCCCTTGTCTTCTCTGTCTCCATCTCCCCTCCCCCCTACTCGATCAGAACAAACCGGCAAAATTGTGTTCTGTTCTTGTTCCAAGCAAGTTTTACTCCCCCCCCCCCCTGTCAACAAGTCCCTTTTTTTCCTCCTAGTTTCACATTTATTTATTTTGGCCAAAGAATTTAGTTGAGTCACGGTTGCTTGCTGCTTGGCGGGCTTGTCCGAGTCAGCTGTGTGCGTCACTTGTCACTTCGCTGTTTTGTGCCTGTCGTATTATTATTATTATTATTAAGTTCTCTCAACTCGCCCCGACTTCAACCCTAACTCACTTCGACCTCAAAACTTACAACCTCATCTTCAACTTCTTTCTTACTCCCTCTCACACATTTACCAACAGCCTCTCTGTGCCTCCTTTCTCCCCATCTTCTTCCCCGTTTTCAAACCAAGTGGCAGAAACCACGGAAGATGTGCCACTAGAGTGCTGTTCCCCCTTATCGGGAGGAATCCGCCGCCGCTCGGTTTCCGGCTTGCTTGCTTGGTCTCTTCGTCTCAGAACCTGCGGACAACATAGACAAAGCTCAAGGAGACTCAGCGCTAGCTCCCGCTCCCTTTGAAGCCACCACAGCTTTCAACAACCTATTTCCATTCTATCTCTTCCCCGCTTGCCTGTTGCCCTCAGCTCTTCGCCTGCAACACCTATAATAATGTCCCCGGTAACCGTTGCGGTTTTCCACTTGTCGATTCCCGTTCTCCCTAGCATCGCCTACGCATTATAAGACTATTCCGTCCTATCAATCTCTCGCTCTTGCCACCCTGTGGTAAACCCTTTCAGCTATACCCTTAACCAATCCAAATGACCCCCCGAACGGCCTAGGTGCCACTGCGTTTCTCCCACACCTTAGCTAACATGGACAGCTATCGAACGTTTCATCAGTCCGATATCTTTTTTCCTCCTGTCTGATACCACATCTTGCTTCTCGTTACATATCCCGTTCATCGACGTTGCCTTGCGTATCTTGTCTCGAACAACTGAATTATACACTCCGTGCGGTCTGTCTGTCACGGATAACGCGGAATTCGGTCCATATACCACAAGTAACAAACCCGGCCCGAAAACCCTCTCCTGTTGTGCCTGAGGACCTTCGGGGCTCATATTTTTCTGGCAACTTTTGGCTGAGTTCACTTCCCCCAATTCTTCCGACAGTTAGCTTCCAGAGATGCATCAACATCCTCGACCTCCGCCGGCAACAGCGTCTCCGGCCAACTCTCCCAGGACTAATCCAGCTCGCACCAACAATCCTCGAGATCGCAGTGCAGAGTCTGACGCTGCATCATCTGCTGAGGTTGGTACAGCCGATACATCAACAAGAGGACCTGGGATTGACCAAGCTGAAATGTTCACGCAGGGACCGTCAAATGTTGCTCCTTCTAGAGA